TCAGGCTACATTTCACTATGTAGTCATGACTGGCAGGGAACTTGCGGTATACACCAGACAGGCCTCTGCCTCCCAACTACTGGGAGTGCAGGTGGTATTCCAGATTCTTATCTCCACACATGCCTAGTCTCTTCCTGCTTCTACAGGTTTTTTTTTTTGATACTCTTTGCTATTATGTTCTTCCTTAGGCCCACAACAACAAAAGCAGCATTCTGCATGGTTTCTGCTTCAAGTTCCTGCCTTTCCTAAACCCTTTACTACCCTGTTACTTTTTTTTTTAATATTTATTTATTTATTATACAATATTATGTCAGTGTATATGCCTGCAGGCCAGAAGAGGGCACCAGATCCCATTACAGATGGTTGTGAGCCACCATGTGGTTGCTGGGAATTGAACTCAGGACCTTTGGAAGAGCAGACAATGCTCTTAACCTCTGAGCCATCTCTCCAGCCCTACCCTGTTACTTTTGTTCAAAACGTATCGCAGCAACAGAAAGGAAACCAGGACGGTACTACATGGGTGTGCCAAGATGCACACATGAGCCCTAGGGATTGTACCTTTACCTGTTGAGCAATCTCACCAGCCCTCAGAAAAGTTATTTTTAATGTCTGCATATATGCCCTCATATTTTCAGTTATATTACACAGAGCACATTGTACTGTTAAACACATATTTCCCATGCTGCAGATCTTTAAGATTATCAATCTTAATACTCCAAATCACTGTGTATGTCTATTGCTTTAAAATGTTTATATGCGTGTTATGTGCATACGCCTCTTTGTCTAGATGCACACTACTTGTACACTGTGCCTGGGCCGCAGACGGTACTGGGTCTACTTGAAACTGCTGTTTTAAGGTGTCTTATGCCTTTTAAGGTGCTGGGAACTGAACCCAGGTCCTCATGATGAAACAGCAAGTAAGCTGCTGAGCCATCTCTCTATAGCCCCATGTATTATCTAGGTCTTGAATTAATTATTAGCCTTCATAAACAGTATTGAAATGAGTATGTCATTTCTGTATTTGAAAAATGGTGATAATCTTGGGGAAAACAAGCCCTTACCTAATTTCACTGCCACTCCATTTAAAAAGTAGAGATGACCCTGAAAGCACCAACACTTAACACTATTTGAGGGCTGCATGTCAGTCAACCAGTGGAAGGAAAGGAACTTGCTCTGGTCCACTGACTATAGGTACAGATTATCTTTCCTAGGAAGAACAGACACACATGCGGTTAACTGCAATAGCAGATTGTTTCCTTAGAGTGACACCTGTAGCCTATGGCATGCAGACTACCTGCAGCCCTACCACACCTTCTTCCTTCACAGCTGTAACTGTGTCGTGCAGACCACCTGCATACAGCTCTACCACACCTTCCTCCTTCACAGCAGTTCTGCCTCAAAGTCAGTGGTTTTCAACTTGTTGGTTGCGACCTCTTTGGGGGTAGCACATCAGATATACTGCATATCAGATATTTACATTACAATTTTTTTTTCTTTTTTTTTTTTTCGAGACAGGGTTTCTCTGTGGCTTTGGAGCCTGTCCTGGAACTAGCTCTTGTAGACCAGGCTGGTCTCGAACTCACAGAGATCCACCTGCCTCTGCCTCCCGAGTGCTGGGATTAAAGGCGTGCGCCACCATCGCCCGGCCTACATTACAATTCTTAACAGTAACAGAATTACAGTTATGAAGTAACAACAATTTTTTTTTCCTTTTTTCCAGAGTCAGGGTTTTACTGTGTACCCTGGCTATCCTGGAACTAGCTCTGTAGACCAGGCTTGCCTCTGCCTCCTGAGTGCTGGGATTAAAGGCATGTACCACCACTGCCTGGTACAATGAAATAACTTTATAGTTCGGGTCACAACACGAGGAACTATATTAAAGGATCTTAGCATTAGGAAGGTTGAGAACCACTGCTCTAATATGGTAACATTTCCACAAATTAAGGTTATCTACTTTTTTTCAAAGTATTATGCTTGCTTTTCTTGGATCACCCTAAGAAACTCCAGTTTTGTAAGTTTATGTATTATTTAATCACCAACCAAACTTTTAGCAAGCACACAAATCAGCTGGTGGCTACTAGTCTTCCAGGCACACCAGCATCAATAGTTAGCATAGTGTTTACCATATATTCACCAGGAGGCACTGTTCTGTCTTCCTGCAATATTAAGTCAGTCACCTCTCCAGAAAGAAGACATGTGGTCAGACATTAGTGAACTATACAAAGCCAGGTGCAGCAGAGCTGTAGAAAATGGCCTTTAATCTAACCTAGAATTCCATACCAATGAGACACAAACACTCCTGGCATCACCGCTCTACTCCCGAGAGAACGTTGAGCACCAAAGACATTCTACTGGGAGCTTGTCTTCTTGCCAGAACTGGCCTTTGGGTTAAGAAAAGCCCATACCTCAACTACTGACAAAGATACAAAATATCTATAAGTGGATGAAACAGGATTGTCTTTTCTTGCCAAGACAGGGTAGGATAGTTCTAAAAGGTTTCTTGCCTTTAATAATGGTATGCCAGTTATGTTAGGCTTTAGCCAAAGTTGGTTGACTCAACTTTGCAAATGAGACTTTGGGTGATTGCCCAGGTAGTCAGTTGTCTCTGTCATTTGTTGCACATTTTGGATATTTCTCGTTTGTTAAGTAATATTACTTCCCTTCTCAGATCTTTGACGGAGTTGAAGATTAGATAATTGTAGTTACTCTCTACATTATTTAGACTCCTTGAAATAGAATGTTTAGTATATTTGTTATTTGTTCCTATTGCATACAGTTGTGTTTGGTTTGGCTCTATCTTATTTAGACAAAAGGGGGAGATGTAGGGGAAGCCCCAGCCAATCACCTTGCTTGTAGGGCGGGATCCCCTGAGGATATTTTTTACTTATAAATATTGCGGGTGTGCTCCCCACCTTCCCTTCTTCTGTTTTCCTGTTCTCTGTGGGAACCTCGGTCTTGTAAGTCCTTCATTTATTAAAGCTGAATATTTTATTATAATTTCTGTCTGCCGTTCATTTACGCCGTAACAGCAATGCATACCTTTAATCCCCGTATGTGGATGTGTCAGAGGCGGGCAGCTCTCTGACAGCCTTGTCTACACAGAGAGACCCTATCTCAGAAAGAAACAAACAGACACAGAAAAGTCCAGATAACACAGCTAGAAATCCCTCACCCATGCTTCTATGAGCAATCTAAAGTAAACTCATGGGAACACATACACAATCAAAGACCATAGCAATAACAGTAGAATAATAACAGGGTTCACTGAGAAGAGGGGCTGGGAAGAAATGAGTAGAACGAAGACGGGTAGAGGGAGCGAATACGCTCAAAAGACAGTATAGATGTACAAAAATGTCCGAATGAATAGTCAATGCATGCTAATAAAACTTTTTTGAAAAAGTTAAGAACAAAATGGTGATAAAAGTATCTAATTAATAGTATTTTGGGAGATTAAACAAATTAAAGGAAAATAAGAGTTTGGTGAAGACCACTTGCCCCAAAAGCAATGCAAAACAAAGCCCAAACAGAAACTCAGTATATAGCACAACTTAGAAAACCAAGTTATCTTTTGTTAATGCCATAGTTGTGTACTTTTGTTGAATTATTTATCTAGGTTAAATCTTAGAAGTATAATTATTAAGAAAACATACCCCCCCCCATAGGGTTTCCTCTGTGTAACAGTCTTGTGTGTCCTGGAACTTAATTTGTAGACCAGGCTGATCCTGAACTCACAGAGATCCACCTCTGCCATACAAGTGCTGGAGCTAAGGGCATGTGCCACCACCACCTGGCTCCAATGTGCTTGCTGGCCTCTATAGAGGGTCTGTCTGCCATACTCCTCTTGCCATAGTATTCCACTAATACAGAACCATAGCAATTGAGCAGGCTGACCATAGTCCAAATCTCTCAAGTTGTGAACTTAAAAAAAAAAATTCCTTTGTCAGGGCAACGAAAGTCTAACATAATCTCTAACTAATAATGTATATATCTTAAATAGGCCCAAATCTACTTTTTTGAAAGGCCTACAACAATTTATTTTGAGACCTGGTCTCACTGTATAGCCCTGGCTGGTCTTGAATACAAAGACATCTTCATTCCTCTGTCTCCTGAGTGCTGGTATTAAAGGCCTGGACAACTACATCAACACACCCCCCCTCCCCGCCCCCCATGAGGCGTGTGGTGGTACATCCCTGTAATCCCAGCGCTGAGGCAGCTGAAGCAGGAGGACCGCTGTGGGCACAGGTTTGCTTGGGATATATTGCCAGTACTCTGTCAATCAGGGATACACAGCGAAACTCTCAAGGAAACAACTATAACAAAACCCAAACAGGCAAAACAGGGTTTTTAGAGTGGGTTATCCATCCTCAGAGTTTATGCTGTCTCTGCCTTTGGGAGTAGAACAGAGACATTCAGTACTCACTCTGCAGCAGTCTGTGGCAGCCGCCTCTGGGTCTCCCTCCTCGTGGACCAGGTCCAACAACTGGAAGCCTGCATCCCCATCAGCTTCTGACACACACTGGGACTCCAAACCACTGGAGGTCCCTGAGGATCGGTGGTTGGAGACTACCCTGTAGCGGCCCTCTTTACGGACCTCGCGAACCGAGGCGCGAAGGTCGCGGCGGATACGCAGCTGGCTGCTCCGGGACGGGCGCAGGGCAGCCCGCACAAGCTGCTGGATGGGCTCCTCCTGAGGGGCGACAGGAAAAGGATGACGGCCCGGGCAGCGTTCAAAGCTCCTTTCCTGAGTCCACCCCCACCTCTTACCTGGGAGCGCACGGTAGCAACCAACCGGAAGACATTACTCTCAGCCGCTGTCTTCGGACCCTCCGGCGTCTCCTGAGCAGACGACTGGACCTCGCCGCTCCGGAGGCGTTTACAAGCCAGCACGAGAGCTTCTGCAGGCTCCGCGTTACGCTTCCGCTTCACGCGCAACACCGCAGTCCTGCCGGCCTCCATAGCGAGCTGTCGCGAAGCACTGTGGGAAGGCGCGGGGTGTGACGGGAGGACTGCGCCGCGTGGAACGTCACGCCTACGCACGGAGGCCCCGCCCCCGGGTCGAGGGTGAGGCCCAATGGCCGCCGCAGTGGCGGCGAGAGGCGTGCAGCCCACAGCGGGTGAGCTCTTGGCGGTGCTTGGGAGGTAGGGCCGTGGCTGTTCCCGGGTGCGGTCAGCTTTCGGACCTCATTTCTAAGGCTCTGGCGCTGGGCCCTGGCGTGGGTGTATTCGGGTCCCCGGGTTACTTCAGGACTTTGCCGGAGTCCACGTGGAGTTGTTGAAGCACCCTGGCGGACAGGTCCGCCCAGCCCCGGCAGTCCGCTTGGGTGATCGTCCTTTCTCAAAATGTGCCTGAGCATAGAGCAGGGTCTGGGCCACCAGACTGGTGCCTTCGGTCCCTGAACCGGTCAGCCGTTCTCTCATTCGGGATGGCTTTCTTAGTGTTCTGAGTAGCTGGAAACCGTGCAGTTTCCATCACTTGCCCGCAGTAGTGCTGTAAATGTGTGTGCCCTACGCAGTCATGCTTTTTATTAAAACTCCGGAGAGACCCTCAGTGCGCTTCTAAGTGTGCTCTTAGTTAAACCGTGGCGACGTGACAGATAAGTGTGTTTAGTATGCTGAGGAATGACCCCTTGGACACTCCTGCTCTCTCCTGTTAGCTCATTGCTTGGCTCTCTTTTTGCCTTCTCACTCGCCTTCACCTGAGGGCTGCACCCGGATGAACTTGTGAGGCGCTTTTGATCCTGTTGGACTTTCTGAAGAGCGCCAAAGTTTCCTTTCCAAACAGCATTATATATCACTATGGTTTCTCTCTCTCTCTCTCTCTCTCTCTCTCTCTCTCTCTCTCTCTCTCCAGTGTTTCACTGTAGTTCTGACAGCTGTGGAACTCATAGAGAGCCTCCTGCCTCTGCCTTCTAAAGACATGCACCATCTCGTTATATTTTGTTCTTGTTTTTGTGACAGGCCTCCGGTGTTGTCCAGGCTGGTGTCAATCTTTCCACCTTGGCCTCCTGAGTGCTGGGACTCTCGATGTGCTACCACACCTGGCTGTTATCATAGTTCTTGATGGGATATGCTGCATAGAAAATGAGATCACTCTCGCTGGAAATATTAAAATACTGAGTAGTATTTTTTTGGAGATTGGGGCTGTCACTATGTAGTTCTTGCTGGCCTAGAGCTTTCTGTGTAGATCATGCATGCTGGCCTTGAATTTAACAGATCCTCCTGCCTTTCTTCCCCAGAGTTGAGATTGAAGACTTGTGCCATCATTAATCAAATTCTTAGGTGACTTTGAATTTTTTGCCTGTTTCTTGATCTTTTTTCCCCTTTTGTTTTCTTGTCCCTTGCTTTCACTATAGGCATTAGAACTGATTAGGTTTCTGATATCCAGATCTGTTTCTGTGCAAACATTGAGGAGCCAGTTGGCACCATGAAGGTCTTCTGTGGCCGTGCCAATCCAACCACGGGATCCCTGGAATGGCTGGAGGAGGATGAACACTATGATTACCACCAGGAAATTGCCAGGTAACATGGGATGCTTCTCAGTTGGCTGCAGGCGGCGAGGGCTCAAAGACATTAATATAGTTTTGAGGAAGATTTTGGATATTGTTTTCTGAGGAGTTGAGATGTTGAATAGGAAAATAAAACATTTGCTGAAAGCAGTGTGGGACGTGGGTTGGAGAGAGAGGGGAGTGGGAGGTTACTGTAATCCTAAAGTAGAAGCAGTGGAGGGGAGAGGAAAAACCAGCCTGGAGGAACTTGAGTTTAATAACTCACTGTATGCAGTAAGGGAGACAAAGTTCAAGAAGGACCAAGATGTCTTCTGGTTAGAGGGACTCAGAGGACGGAGATGTCACTCCCTGAGAGAAGGGGAGGCAGTATTCTAGAGGGAAAGGTGTTGGACATGAGGGGTTAAGGTTTGGACATTCAGATGGGGATGTTAGTAGAGTCTTGAGACACAGAATTTGTAGAACTTGGGAAAGTTGAAATTGAGAGACAGTGCAGCATCTCAATAAAGGAGGGTCTGGAATGTAAAATCAGGATAAGCTGAGGAGGCAGAAACAGAACCAGAAGGAAAGTTGGGATGGAAAGAAAAGGGAAGTTTAGGGAAGAAGGAGTGGCTGTTAGGGTCAGGCTGCCAAGAAGGCCTGAGGACTGCTGACCATTAGCAACAGCTGTGTGAGTGGCTGGAAAAGCCAGGAAGCAGTGAGTGGATGTGTCTTTAAAAAGTAGGCAGAGCTGCAGAGATGGGTCAGCAGTTAAGAGGGCAGGCAGTTCAACCTCTTGTAACTAGCTCTGGAAGATCTGATGCTCGCTTCTGGACTCTGGGTACTTGGCACTCACAGGTACATGTATCCACACACAGATAGACTCATACGTATATAATTAAAACTAAAACAACTTGGCGCCGGGCGGTGGTGGCACACGTCTTTAATCCAAGCACTTGGGAGGCAGAGGCAGGCGGATCTCTGTGAGTTCGAGACCAGCCTGGTCTACAAGAGCTAGTTCCAGGACAGGCTCCAAAACCACAGAGAAACCCTGTCTCGAAAAAGCAAAAAACAAAAAAAACCAAAAAAACCCAACTTGGATTTTTTTGTATTTTATTTATTTTTTAAGATTTATTTAGTTATGTAGTTTATGTATATGAGTACCCTATTTGCATGTATTTCTGCATGACAGAAGAGAACATCAGACAGAACAGCACATCAGGATCCCATTATAGATGGCTATGAGCCGCCATGTGGTTGCTAGAAATTGAATTCAGGACCTCTGGGAGAGCAGTCAGTGCTCTTAACTGCTGAGCCATCTCTCCAGCCCCGATTTTATTTATTTTTGAGGCAGGATCTTGGTATGTGTCCTTGGTATGTAGACCAGGTTGGCCTTGAACTCACAAAAATCTACTGGTCTCTGCTTCCTAAGTGCTAGGGTTAAAGGCAAGTGCCACTCCATCTGGCTCTTAATTATATGCATGTACCTGAATGTACGTTTGTGCAGCACATGTGTACAGGGCCCACGGAGGTCAGAAGAGGGCATTGGATCCTCTGGTACTAGAGTTAGACAGTTGTGAGCCACCATGTGGGTGCTGGGAATCAAACCTTGGTTCTTTGCAAAGCAATAAGTGCTCTTAACTGCTGAATCATCTCTCTAGCCCCCAGAATCTATATTAAAATCAAACAAATGGGTGTGGTGATGTCTGCTTGTAATCTCAGCTCTGCAGAAGTGGAGACAGGAGGATCCCTGGGACTTGCTGGTCAGCTAGTCTATTCTAGTTGATAAGTTAGGCCAGCGAGAGACCTTGACTAAATATAAATGAGGATGACTGGAGATTTTCCTCCAGTTTCCACGTGCATGTGCAGATGTGTGCTTGTGCACCGCACACGTATGAATGTGCACACAACATACCAAGTGAATAGGGAGCACATTTTCAACAGTACGTGAATTTATCTTAGGTTGAAATCCTAATTAGCACCAAATAAATGTATTTTTCTTTATTCTTGGCTTGGTTGGTTTTATTCTCAGTCAGAAATAGCAAAACATTGAAAATAACATAGATGTCTATCAACATTGTTAGGCAAACCTGTGGCTTATGTATATAGCAAAAAATAGTGCAAATGGGAAGGCAGGAACGAAGTTCTTTATTTTCATTTCATCCTCCACTGGTAGAGTGGTCTTCACAATATTTTATATGAAAATGCAAGTAGAATTATACTGCTTTTGTGTCAGAAATAAGGTGTTGCTTATTTTTCATAAAAAGCCCTGGAAGAGGAGATGGAAACTGATGAAAGTTATCTGTAGACAGTACAAATGGGACTGGGTGTGTGTTTGTCATGTTTGGTTTCAATGTTAACTTGCCACAATTATAATTGACTCACCTAAGTAGGAAGCTGCTCCTGAAGGATTTTTCCTCTTGATGAGGTAGGAAGGTGCACCCTGATTGCGAATGTCACCTTTTGGTAGCACCCAGGTGAAAAAGGGTATTTCAGTAGAGCATTGGTGGTGCACACCTTTAATCCCAGCACTTGGGAAGCAGAGCCAGTCCCCAGAGCTACAGAGAAACCAAAACAAAAAGGGTATTTTCGGAAGGAAGTTTCCCCTATTTACTTGCTTGGCCTTCTGTCCTGCCAATGAGGCAGTTTGCTCTGCTGTTGCTACTTCCTTCTCTGATAGCAGATGAGAAAGCCAGAGTTTCAGTGGAGTAGAAACCAGGCACTCTTCCAGCGACTTTCTGGGCTCCAGGTGCCAGACTGGACTACTGGGGCACCCACCTTGTGGATTAAGTAACTACTGGTTGTAGCCCCCAGTGAGTGACAGCTATTCTGGGACTACTCTAACTTTTGAGACATCCAACTTTAAGGACCAGGTAACTACTGGTTCTCAACATTTCAGGTGTGACTTAGCTGGTGTTACTATTTTAAAGCTCACTCACTTAATGAATTTTTTTTGCGGGGTGGGGTGGGGGTGTGTGTGCAGGAGATTTTCTTCCAGTGCACACTTACAAACCTTTAGATTGCATATGTGCATATGGAACAAGTAAGTTTTATTACCCAACTCATTTTTGTCTTTTGTATCTTTGTCCAAAGATGCTTAAAGAAGGAACTAGCATCACTATTTTTATTTTGTCACAAATCTTCAAAGCTTTCATGCACAGAGTCACTAAATTCCCTATACCCTACAAGAGGAGAATTGGGAATCAAATGCGTTTATCTCGATAAGTTCTTTTAATAGTGCATGCCATGGATTTTCAGTGCTTCCATACTGTCTGAGGAACTTTTTTGTTTGCTTTTCAAGACAGGATTTCTCTTTGTAGCCCTGGCTGTCCTGGAACTTGCTCTGTATTCCACACTGGCCTCCAAGTTTGCCTGCCTCTGCCTCCCAAGTTCTGGTGATTAAAGGTGTGTATCTAAGGAGTTTTTGTGACTGTAGCTGAAGAACCTGTCCAGACACTAGAGAAAATCATTCTTACAATTCCCTTTCTCCAGAACCACTCCTGATACCATATTTGTTTTAGTCGGGGTCCTCTAGAACAACATAATCAAATATATATATATATATATATATATATATATATATATATATATATATATTTGATTATATATATATACTATATATATATATAGTATCAGAATATCTGTATAGCTCAGAATTTAAAAGATTTTTAAAAAATTTTATCTTAGCCGGGCAGTGGTGGCGCACGCCTTTAATCCCAGCACTCGGGAGGCAGAGGCAGGCGGATCTCTGTGAGTTCGAGGCCAGCCTGGTCTACAAGAGCTAGTTCCAGGACAGGAACCAAAAGCTATGGAGAAACCCTGTCTTGAAAAAAAAAAAAAATTATCTTGTGTATATGGTGCTCTATCTGCATATATGCCTGCATGCCAGAAGAGGGCACCAGATTCCATTATAAATGGCTTTGAGCTACTGTGTATTTGCTGGGACTTGAACTCAGGATTTCTGGAAGAACTGCCAGTGCTCTTAATCGCTGAATCATCTTGCCAGCCCATGTTTCAGAATTTATTAGGTTGATAGTTAAAAGCAGTCCAAGCTGGTGATGGCATAACCTTTAAGCTGAGCCCATGGGAACTACATAGAGGCAGGTAGACCTCCTTGTGTTCCAAGAAAAACTTGATCTTGGTGGTGCACGCCTTTAATTCCAGCACTTGGGAGGCAGAGGCAGGTGGATCTCTGAGTTCGAGGCCAGCCTGGTCTATGAAATGAGTTTCAGGACAGCCAGGACTGTTACACAGAGAAACCCTGTCTTGAAAAATCAAAACCAAACAAAAGAAAAACCCCCAGTCAATTGAAAATCAAAACAAGCAAGAACAGCTTGGTCTATGTATGAAGTTCCAGGCCCGCCGAGGATACATAGTTGAGAATCTATCTCAAAACCAAGACAGACAAAAAAGCTAACCAACACAGTGGGGTGAACGGTGAACAAAGTGAGGATTCTTAGGATTATACCCTCGTCTTCATTCAACGCATGTAGACAAGTACGTATTCTATCATTGAGTCACAGCCGCGGCTCCCTCCTAAGCTTGCGAATAAAGTAAGCACAGGAAGGACTGTAGGTGGTTCAGAGGGAGAAGTATTTCAGGACAGTGTTAGAACTGCCTGCGGTGGAGTTGGTTCAGGGGTTGCTCTCTGAACTCCGCCTTAACCTGGCTTGGTGTCTGTAGAAAATTTGCATCTCAGATAAACTTTCCCAGCTGTGCTGGCCGAAAACTGGAGGCCTCTTTTGCTGAGTGCCTCAGCTTCCCCTGGAGTTCCCAGAAAGCATCTTTGGGCTGTGGCCTGAATCCTGGGTATTCACAGGGTTTCCAGCTTCTACTTTCCTTTAGTTATTTACCTGTTTGTACTTGTTGGGGATCTAATTGAGGACTTTAGAGATGCTAGATGCTAGGCATGTATTGTGCCACTGAGTTCCGCCCTTGGCCCCAGTTTCCAGAATTTTTAGTTGCTGTGGTAGAAAATATGGATGCAATTTTCTTCCTTTTTTTTTTTTAATTTGTCTATTTATTTTACATCCTGGCCATAGCCTCCCCGCCCCATTTTCCTCTCCTGGTTTCTCTCCCCAACCCCCTTCCCATCCTCATACCCTCCTCTTTCATCTCTATCCAGGAAAGGGCACATCTCCTATGGAAATCAGTAAAACATGGCATATCAAGTTACAGGGGGACTAATCACCTACCCGTGTATTGAGGTTGGGCAAGGTGACCCAGTTATAAGGAGTAGGGCCCCTAAAGCCTGTATAAGAGTCAGAGACAGCCCCTGTTCTCACTGTTAGGATCCCATAAGAGGCCCAAGCTACACAGCTGTAACGTATGTGCAAAGTGCCTAGGTCAGTCCCATGCAGGTTCCCTGGTTGTCAGTTCAATCTCTTGGAGCTCCTATGAATCCAGGTTAGTTGATAGTGTGAGCCTTCTTGTGGATCCTTGACCCCTCTGGTTCCTATTCTCCTTCAAACTCTGCCTAATGTTTTGGCTTTGCGTCTCTACATCTGCCTCTCTGATGTCAGTTGGGCAAGGCACCAGTCTGGCACAGGAGATGGCCTGAAAGTTCAGGCTACATATCCACTATTGCTGGGAGTCTAACCTGGGGCCCTTCCCATAGACTCGTGGGAGAGTACCCTGCACCAGGCTTCTGCTCAACCCTGAAATGCCCCTCCTAACAGTCCTCCTCAGCCTCCTCCAGCATGATTGCTCATGTTCCCATCCCCACCTGCCCTCAGTCACTCACGAAATCTCTTTATCTGATTGTCTTCCCTTTACACACCATATTTAGCTTATTTTCCCCGATGATGTGATATGAACTAAAATATGGATGTTACTTTCTTCTCTTTACATGGTATAGCCAGTCATTTCCCCCTGATGTGATGTGAACTTCTGAGCCTGGTGACCCTCACATACACAGCAGCTATATGGTGTCCTTTTCCCAGTTCCTTTTCCTAGTGTGGATGTGTACAAGTATCATTCAAGGTTAGGTCAAGTGTTAGAATTATTGAGTGTTATAATATGGGGTGTTCATGGTTATAGGTTACTATTATAGGCTAATGGGTGGGCCAGTGAAATGGGTCAGCAGGTTAAAGGTGTTTACTACCAACACCAACAACCTGAGTTTGATCCCCAGGGCCCATGTAAAGGTGTAAGAAAGAACTGATTTCTGCAAATTGACCTTTGACCTCCAGATACACATAAATAAATTACTTCTCTAGGTTAACTACTAGAGCATTTTTGGGTCTAAAAAGGACATCTGCTCTGAGGGTTTTTTTTTTTTTTTTTGCATTAGCAGAGAATGACAGTAACTGATCATAGTAAAATAAATTTTGTGAATTGACAAGATGGTTCGGTGGGCACAGGTGCCTGCTGCCAAGCCTAAGGACTTGAGCTCAATTCTTGGAACCTACATGGTTTAAGGAGAGCACTGACTTCCACAGAATCATTCTCTGACCCCACACATGTGCCATGGTGCATGCATTTCTTGCCCCAAATAAATAAAGTTTTATTTATTTATTTGAGACAAAGTCTTGCTATGTAGACCATGTTGACCTCAAACTCACAGAGCCCACCTGCTTCTGCCTTCCAAGTCCTAAAGGTAATCAGTATCATGCCCAGTTTTAAAAAAATATTTTTTTGAAACTGTGTTTTGCTGGTCTTAAACTCATTCTCTTTCCTCAGCCTTGAAATTTGTGAGATTATAGACTTGAGCTACCACAGCAGGCTCTTAAAATATTTTAGAGCAGATGACACACTTGTTGCATTCCATTGAGGACTGCACTTATGTGTGGGAACTCCTTGATGTGTTCATGCATGTCTTTATTAGCAAAGCTTTCTGACTTACCTTTTCCTTTTATCTCTCAAGGTCATCCTATGCGGACATGCTGCACGACAAAGACAGAGTAAGTGTGAGGTGCACCACATCGCAAGACAGGGTCACGTGCTGATGATCTGGGGTCCTCCCCATCCCCAAGTCTGAAGAGCTCCTTTCCACTTATCTATAATAACATGACAGTTATTTCTTCCTTTCTCGTAGAATATAAAGTATTACCAGGGCATCCGGGCAGCTGTGAGCAGGGTGAAAGACAGAGGACAGAAAGCCTTGGTTCTTGACATTGGCACTGGCACAGGTCTCTTGTCCATGATGGCAGTTACTGCAGGTGCTGACTTCTGCTATGCTATTGAGGTAAGCCTCCTATTTAGGTATGTGTCCTGTAAGGTCTTTAGGTCGGTCCTTGGGTTTTCCTGGTCTGTTGACAAACACATGCCAAGCGCGTGACCAACTTCTCTACACAGAGAGATGAGTCAGACAGGTTTTCTTTTTCCGGGAGCTTTTTTTCTGCTCTGAAACAGTGATTCTCAGACTTGGCCATCAGCCTCTCTGAGGAGCTTTAAAAAATAGTTATGTGGGCTGGAAAGATGGCACAGTAGTTAAAAGCATTATCTGCTGTTGCAGAGAACCCAGGTTGGATTCCCAGAACACCCACATGGTCACTCTAGTTCCAGGAGACACCCTGACTTCCTCAAGCACCAGACATACCTGTGACATACAGATTTATATACAGGCAAAACAATCATATACATAAGAAAAAAAATTAAGAGGTACTTCTGCTTTGTGCTAAGATTTACATTAAAGTGTTTTTTCGGGGTATGGCTTAGTCTCTAGAGCATCAGCCTATGTATACCTGGACCCGATCCCTAGCACTGTAGAAACTGAGGGATGGCACTCCAGAGGCAGACGTAGGGAAGTTGGGGTTCAGGGCCATCCTGGGTCTCCAACAGGTCCTACCCAATTGAGTTACCACAGACAGTCTTAAAACAACGTCAGTTTGGGGGCTGGAGAGATGGCTTAGCAGTTGAGAGCACTGGCTGTTCTTCCTGAGGACCTGGGCTGGCCTTGAACTCACAGAGATACTGCTGCCTCTGCCTGACAAGTGCTGGGATTAAAGGTGTGTGGCACGAGGCTTGTTCTTTTTTTCTTTTTGAGACGAGGTCTTGGGCTGGAGAGATGGCTCAGCTGTTAAGAGCACTGGCTGCTCTTCCAGAGGTTCTAGGTTTAATTCCCAGCAACCTCACAGTGTCTCACAACCATCTGTAATGAGATCTAGTGCCCTCTCCTGACATGCAGACCTACATGCAGGTGGAACACTATACATAATAAATAAATAAATCTTAAAAAAAAAATCAGACAGAGACAAGGTCGACTTACATGTCCTTAGCTAGCCTAGAACTCACTGTGTAGACCAGGTTGGCCTCTAATTCATAGATATCTACTGTCTCTGTCTCCGAAGTGCTAGGACTAAAGGTCCTATAACTTTAAATTTTTATCACATTTTAATTAATTTATTTATTTTGTATGGGGGGGGCATTTGTGTGGTGGTCAGAGAGCAACTTTTGGGGTTTTTCTTTTCCCACCATGCAGCCTCAAGGATTGAGTTGAGGTTGTTTCGTCAGGCTCTGCAGCAGGCTCCCTTACCCACTGAGCCATCTTGCCATCCTTACCATTTCTTTCTTTAATAAAACATTAAACATGTTATTTTTATGATAATATAAATGTATGTACTAACAGGAAATGTAGTAAATGAATAACACCAGTATCTTAAATAAGATAAGTTTTTGTTTGTTTGTTTGTTTTTGTTTTTTGAGACAGGGTTTTTCTGTGTAGCTTTGAAGCCTGTCCTGGAACTCACTCTGTAGACCAGGCTAGCCTCTAACTCATTGAGATCCCTCTACCTCCTGAGTGCTGGGATTAAAGGTGTGTGCCACCACTGCCTGGCTAAAACCAATTTTTTCCAAGACAGGGTTTCTTTAACAGTCCTGGCTGTCCTGGAACTCACTTTGTAGACCAGACTGGCCTTGAACTCACTGAGATCTACCAGCCTCTGCCTCCCAAGTGCTGGGATTAAAGGTGTGTACCGCCACTGCCCAGCTAAAATAATTTTTTTAGATATGTTTATGATTTATTTAACTTTATTTTATGTGCATTGGTATGAAGGTGTCAGATCCCCTGGAACTAGATTTACAGACAGTTGTAAGCTTCCATGTGTGTCCTAGGAATTGAACCCAGGTCTTCTAGGGAGCAGCCAGTGCTCTTAACCACTGAGCTATCTCTTCAGCCTCTAAAATAAAATTTTTTAACACATAAAATCCTGAGATCAGCAGTAGATTGTATTAAATTGTATTCTACTTAGGCTCCTTCTAGCTGTCCATCCTGCCATCTTTAAAGTGTGACTCTAATTTCAAAATCTAGAAAGATGAGCATCTGGGATGGTGTGATGCATCAGTGGATAAAGTGTGACTTGTTCTGAAAACCTAGTGACCCAGATTTGGCCTCTGAATCTCCCAATGGGAAGAGAGAATAGTTTCCCTAGGGTTGTCCTCTGATTCTGTATGTACTCTGTGGCACATGCATTCTCACACTTATGCACACACACACGATAATATTTATTTTGATTTTTTGAGATAGGATCTCTACATAACCTGGCTGACCTAGAACTTGCTATGTAGATCAGTCTGGCCTGGAATTTACAGAGCTCTGCCTACTTCTGCCCCACCCCCGTTTAGTGCTGGCACTAAAGGTGTGCACCACCATGCCCAGCTCATACCAATTTCTGTAAAAGATGAGTCTAGGCTGAAGAGATAGCTCATAGTTAAGAGTGTCTACTGCCCTTGCAGTCGGCCAGAATGAAGTTCACAGCACCCATGACAGGCAGCTCACAGCTAGCAGCTCCAGAGGGATCTAACCCTTTTGGCCTCTGTGGGTCCTGACACGCATGTACATAATCTACACAGAGACACACATGCACATAATTTAAAGGCATGTGCCACTACACCTGGCCTGAGTTAGGTATACTTAACCTGGGATAAGAATAGTCTATTTCTGGCTGGATAGATGATGCAGAAGTTAAGAACATTTGTTCCTACAGAGGGTTCAATTCTCAGCACTCTCATGGTGATTCACAACCATCTGTAATTGGAGTTCCAGGGGATCTGGTGCCCTATTTTACCTCCATAGGCACCAAGCATGCACATGGTGCATGTATGCAAAACACTCAAACATAAAATGAATAGGCTGGGCATGGTAACACAAACATTTAATCCCAGCACTTGGGAGGCAGACAGACGAGGATCTCTGTGAGTTTGAATCCAGCCTGATGTACATAGGGAGTTCTAGGATAGCCAAGACTAAAAAGACACTGTCCCAAAAAATGAACAAACAATAAATAAAATGAGTAAAGTTAATTTTTTTTTAAAAAGGTGTTTAGGGCTTGGAGAGGTAGCTTAGTAGTTAAAAGCTGTGTGGGGTGTCCACCAGAGAAGACTGCTCAGGTATGGATCTAAGCCATAGAAAGTCTTTATTAACCAGCCAGTGACAACACTGGGTTGTTGTAAGGAGGCTGCTTGTTCGTTTCCCGGCTGCCCAGACTTCCGAAATAACCACACAGAAACTGTATTAATTAAATCACTTCTGGACCAATTACTTAAGCATATTACTAGCTAGCTCTTACATCTAGAATTAACCCATCTCCATTATTTTATATTTTACCATGAGGTTTGTGGTCTACCGACAAGGTTCCAGCATATCTGTCTCTGGCTGTGGCTTCATGGCTTCTCCCTGACTCTGCCGCCTTCTTCCTTTCAGCATTCAGTTCTTCCCTGCTCTGCTATAGGCTCAAAGCAGTTTTTTTATTCACCAATTTTATTCACCAATAGTAATCACAGCATACAGAGGGTAATCCCACATCACTGGGTGTTTAGGATTCCAGTGTAGCATTGAACCTTTCTTAGGGAGAGTTTGTAAATACAAAAACTATGTCTTGGGTTTACATACTTCAATAAACAAGAATAGCCAGACCCAGAACTGTAGAAGCCAAAAAGTAAGGATAATACATTTAGAGATTTTCCCAGAATTGTGGACTTTGATGGATTAGGTCTTTGTTTTTGTTTTGGCAGGTCTATGTGCTGTATTTGTGCTGAGTTTAGTCTGAATGGTTCTTCCATCACGGAGTCAGTTATGCTGAGGTCTGGGGGCCTACTAAAGTCTTGGGCCCTGTTACAAAGCTTCTCTGCTCTTCAGAGGACTGCCTAGTTCAGTTCCCAGTACCCATGTTGGATAGCTCATAATTGATTGTAACTCCAACTCAAGGGAATTTAATACCTCTGTCCTCCATGGGTACTGCACTCAAATAGACATACCCATATGTACACATACGTGAAATTAAAAATATTAAAAAGAAATCTTTTTAAAAATGTATTTGTGATTTCCATGATATCAAATCCTGAGTTGTTGTATATGAGAGACTGCACTTGTTGTGGATTTCACAAAAAACAAACAGATATAATGCTGCCTTATTCTCAATAGTCAGAAACTGGGACCAACCTAGACAAGTAGAGAGAAAAAGGTTGATTGTGCATGTGTGGTGCACACATGAGTACAGGTGCCCGTGGAGGCTAGAAGAGTGTCAATCTCCTATCTTGTAAACTGCCCAACAAGGGTCCCCTGGAGGAGCAGTATGGGTTTTAAAGCTCTGAGCTGGTGGGATAACCAGCTCCTAATTTTTTTAAAGTGTTGGTGCCCTCAGAGGCCAGAAGAGGGCATCAGATTGAGTTATGCATACTTCTAAGCTAACTAGTGTGGATACTGGGAATTGAATTCTGGTTTTCTGTAAAGCAGTGAGTGCTCTTAACTTCTGAGCCATGTCTCCTGCCATTCTCAATGTTTCTTATTGCTCTGTGTGGTGTATGACCTTCCTTTGAAAACCTGTGCCTTTACTGACTGTAGGAGAGCCACTAAAGAGCCCCTGGAGATGGAGACGTGTCAGACAGGACATGACCCCAACTTACTCTCTTTGAAAAACAAGCAGGCTTTTCCTAGAAATTTCTAGCAAACCTCTCCTTGTATATAAAATTGGCCAAAATAATTGACAAAGGGGAACCTGTCTGATGAGCCAGATAGGTTCATCTCTTGAAATCAGGTCCATTTCTGTACAGCACCACTGTCCCTGTTCTGAAGGACGGAAGAGTGGATGTTGGGAAGTCTACTTCATTGTTTGTCTCTGTTCATGGCTGGGATGAGATTGCTGTGTGTTTGAGTGTAGGTGGGTGCTTGTATGTAGAGGCCAGAGGTTGACATAGTGTCCTCAGTTGTCACATTTTATACCTGTAGGGCTACTTGAACTCAGAGCTACCCAGTTAAGTTTGTATAGCTAAGCATCTTTCTCCATGCCTCAGGGAGCAAACCTGTGGCATATGTATATAGCAGAATACGGTGCAACTGAAAAGACAGAAACGAAGTTCCTTATTTTCATTTCATCCTCCACTGGTAGAGTGGTCTTCACAATATTTTATATGAAAATGCAAGTAGAATTATACTGCTTTTGTGTCAGAAATAAGGTGTTGCTTATTTTTCATAAAAAGCCCTGGAAGAGGAGATGGAAATTGATGAAAGTATCTGTAGACAGTACAAATGGGACTGGGTGTGTGTTTGTCATGTTTGGTTTCAATGTTAACTTGCCACAATTATAATTGACTCACCTGAGTAGGAAGCTGCTCCTGAAGGATTTTTCCTCTTGTCTTGATGAGGTAGGAAGGCACACCCTGATTGGGGGCTGAGGAGAGAGAGAGGCTGTGAATGGTCAGAGCCCAAAGGGTTAGGGAAGGGGAGTGATAGGTAAGAGGCTGACGAAAGAGAGGGTGACAATGAGGTTGTGATAGTTTTAGAAGTTTGGACAAACTGATTGATGAAGGCTGAGGTTTGAGGTCAGAGACCACATGTGAAAACTACATTTTAGAAATGATTGTTTTTCCCCAGCTGAGCACATACATATATACATATTTATTTATTTATTTATGATATACATTGTGTTCTGTCTGCATGTATGCCTGCTGCCAGAAGATCTCATTACAGATTGTTGTGAGCCACCATGTGGTTGCTGGGAATTGAACTCAGGACCAGAAAATCTGCCAGTGCTTTTAATCTCTGAGCTGTCTCTCCAGCTCCAAGTACATACATTCTTTCCAAAGAATATGGCTTTTCTTTGTTATATGAAAAGCAAAATCATGTTCATGGTAGAAAATATAGACAAGGGTTTAGAAAAAAATGAAAATCTTCCATCATTTATTTTGTTTCCACTTTGTATTTATGAAAGTTTCTGTGTTTATGGGATAGAGCTGTGACATCCAGACTAGGCCGGTTGAAAAGCCAGGGCTAGAGGGGCTGGTGAAGGGCTCAGGAATCATTTCTACAGGGAGGACTTTGTGCTTCCTTGTGGGTTGTGTCTGTGTGTTAGACACCAGACTGGCCTCAAACTAACTTTCTGTGTAGCTAGGCAGGCCTTGAACCCAGATCCTACCTACACTTCCCAAGTGCTGGGATTACGGGCATGTGTCACCGTTTCCAGCCTCCAGTTGGATTTGATATGGCAAATGGGGTGGGAAGGGTTCAGACTTGCCTGTGAATGTTGGGGAGCATCATGTGGGCTAAGAAGGGGGTGTGGCTGAGAGAATAAAGTGGAGGGTCCCATGTATCATAAGGAAATAAAGGCTGTGCTTTTAGTCTGGGTCAGTTCTGAAAATGAAGGTGGACTGGCCATACTTCAGCTGTCTTCCTTATCTCTGGAGACAGGTTTGTGGGAGCATCTTTAGTCAGTGCAGGGCACTTAATGCCCTACTAAATAGTGCAGAATTCCTTCATTTTCACCTAGTGGGCATGAAGTGGGAACTTCTAAATAGTACCTTGAAGTTAAACTTCATTCTTTCTCTCTCTCTCTCTCTCTCTCTCTCTCTCTCTCTCTCTCTCTGTACATGTGGGGGATATTGAAACCGATTTTCACTCCATATAGCTCAGAGCTCAGGCTTCCCTTTAATTCATGATGATTCTCCTGCCTTACCATCTTGAATTCTGAGATTAGACATGAGCAAACCACACCTGGCTGAATTTCATCCTTTTATGTTCATTTTCTTGGTTTTTCGAGACTGGGTTTCTTTGTGTTGCTTTAGTGCCCATCCTGGAGCTAGCTCTTGTAGACCAGGCTTGCCTTTTTTATGTTCATTTCGTGACACACATTTAGAGACTAAAACGTTTTTAGTGTCAATTATGGAACCAGAGTCAGGTACTATCTTGCTAGCTATGTGTCTTAAGTAGGAAGTGTTTTTTTTTTTTTTTTTGGTTTGTTTTCTTGCTTGCTTGTTTGTTTTAGCAGATGTTCATTTTCCCTCTCACCCTTCTCTGACTTACAGGTCTTTAAACCTATGGCTGATGCTGCTGTGAAGATTGTGGAGAAAAATGGCTTCAGTGACAAGATTAAGGTTATTAACAAGCATTCCACTGAGGTGACAGTTGGACCAGGTGAGAACTGTCCCTCCTGTGGGAAGCAGAGCTAATGAAATGTCACAGTAGTCACACACAGGAAAGAAACTTGATGCTTTAAGTAAACGTAAGGTGGTAAAAAAGAAGTCTTTATAGTGAGATGTTTGAAACTTAGAAAATTCTACGTGTTCTTTGAAACTCGGAGAACACAGCTACAACATTTGGTGAAGAGGAAAGAAGCTGTGGCCATCACCAGTTTTTAAGATACAGTATTTTAGGATTGAAGGATCTACTTAAAGTCAGTATTTTATTTTAAGTTTAATTTTGCCATTACCATCAACAGGATCTAATACAGTCCAGGCTGGCCTTGAACTCACTCTGTAGCTAAGGTTGGCTTTGGTCCTCCAGGGTACTATAGTTACACCATACTTGGATTTCTTTTTTCTCACAGAAAAAAAAAATTACTGTGGGGGTGGGGATGTAGCCAATGGTAGAGTACTTGTTTTGGGTGCATAAGACCCTGGGTTTGATCCCTAGGACCCTAAAGCTAGGTATGGGTAATCCCAGCACTTGGGAAGTTGAGGGAGAAGGAAGATCGTGGGTTTCGAGTCAGCCTGGACTACATAGCAAGACCTTTTCTAAAAACAACTCAAATTGAACACTTCAATTCTTACCACCAACATGGTAGGTCACAATCATCCTGTGTGTCTTGCACAGATATGCATGTAGGTAAAACACTCAAACATAAAATGATTAGATTTAAATCTAATTTTTAAAAATATTTTATATATTTTTTATTTTATGTGTATTGGGGAGGCTGCTTGTTCATTCCCAGCTTCCCAGACCCCAAATACTCACTCAGAAACTATTATTATTTGCAATACTGTTTGGTCAATAGCTTAAGCATATTTCTAACTAGTTCTTACGTCTTAAACTAACCCATTTCTATTATATTTTACCATGAGTCTAGTGGCCTACCTACAAGGTTCCGGCTGGCGGCTACATGGCTTCTCCCTGACCCTGCCTTACTCTCTTTATGTATCTTTTCCAGCCTGGCTATATTCCGCTAAGCCATTGGCCAATAGCAGCTTCTTTATTTATTAACCATAAATGCAGCACATATACAGAAGGACTTCCCACACAGTATGTGCATTGTTGTTTTGCCTATATGGATGTCTGTGTCAGATCTTGGAGTTAATAGACAGTTAAGATTGAAGGATCTACTTAAAGTCAGTATTTTATTTTAAGTTTAATTTTGCCATTACCATCATTAGGTAATGAATCATTAATGATTGAATATACATTCATTAATGCATATATACTTCAAGAATATAGTGTAGAGCCCAATATTATGGTGTGTGTTTATAATCCCAACACTTAAGAGGATTGTGAATTTGAGGCTAACTTGGGTTACATAACAAGACCCTAAAACAATGTGAGTATACGATTGTTGAGCGAATTTTGCCAAATTGAGGGACACTTGTAACCATGGTCATAATCAACACAATAGATTATTTCTTTCTTGCTCAAAAAATTCCTCATGACCCTGGGCACTCACAGATACCCTTTCTTTCAATTAAATTAGGTCATTTTTTTTTTCTAGAATTTCAAGGAAATTTCAAATGAAATTGTGTATCAGCCTGTGCTGGCCTCAAACTCACAGAGATCCACCTGCTGCTGCGTCCTCAGTGCCCGGGTTAGATGTGTAATATATTTAAGAGAATGTTACTGTTTCTAAGCCAGGAGATAGAGTTTGCTTTTAACTTCCACTTTACTTTACTAGATGTGTAAATAAATGGACACATGGAGCCCATGTGTGTGTCATAGGAAAGGTACTTTTCTAACCTTCGTTCTGCTCCTCGATTTACAGTTGAGACTACTAACTTGATGGTTAGAACCCAGCTCTCCAGGCTAGTAGTGGTATCCAGTCCTTGTCTATAGGACTCCAGGCTCAGTCCTTGTTCTGCACTCAACCTCTCTAAACTATTTCAGTGTGTCTCTTTTTCAGTGTCAGCTGTGAAATTTGTCCTCTGTAGACGGAAGACAAATGGGTTTTGTCTAATGTAATTCGTGAGCCATTAGAAATGTTTACGGTTAATTCTCCATGATAAATTGCTCTTTTCAAGGTCTGTTGGCTCATTAAAAAGTATAGTTGTAGCAGTAATATTATGTTTTAGAGGTTTAGAAAGTAATTGATTAAAGAACTCCTCAGAACCCCGAAGAGGGTGTCAGATCTTCTGAAGCTGGAGTTAGCAGGGGTTCTGAACTGCCTGACATGGGTGGTAGGAACTGAGCTTGGGTCTTCTGCAGGAGCAGCACCTGCTATTTCCACTGAGTCGTTTCTCTAACCTCTGCTTTTCGACGTGGTACTTAACATGTCTGTCATAAATACATTTCCTAGTCTGTTGCATGTTTCTTTTTTTTTTTTTTTAAAGAAAAGACTTTGGTGTTTTGTTTTGTTTTTTTTAATGGTTTATTCAACTTTATTTTATGTGCATTGGTGTGAATGTGTCAGATTCCCCTGCAACTGGATCTTCAGACAGTTGTGAGCTGCCATGTGGGTGCTGGGAATTGAACCCGGGTCCTCTGGAAGAGCAGTCAGTGCCCTTAACCACTGAGCCATATCTCCAGCCCCCTGTTGCATGTTTCTGACTCTATTCACTTGCTTTTAGATGGTGACTTGCCGTGTCGGGCTAACATCCTGGTCACAGAGCTGTTTGACACGGAACTGATTGGAGAGGGAGCACTGCCCTCTTATGAGCATGCTCATAGGCATCTTGTGCAGGTAAGGGGCTCAGAGCCTTCAGGAGTGTTACACAGTCACTGCTTACCATGCTTAGTACAGCCCTGCAGAATCTCTATACACCCTGGGCCTCCCTTCAATTCCTGGCAGGCATCTAGCTCAGGTGGCAGTACGGCTGAGAAACCTTTGCTTTTAATTCCTAGATGTGAAAATCCTCTTCACTGCTGGGTTCCCAGGCCTGATGATGGGCACAGAATGAAAGGACCATTAGACAGGGAGGGAGAAAGAACCACAGCCAGGTAGTGAGGGGAACCCTGCAGGTGTCCATGCAGGTGATGATCTGTGAAGGGATGGACGTTCTGCCTTACTCACTCAGATGAAAACAAGTTCTCCTCATCCTGTTTTCTTTAACTGGACCCCATGGGCAAGGTGCAAAATCAGTGGAAGATGTAGGTACATGAATAATTCTTCCAGCATACATATACAGACAAACATACACACACAGCACAGACACACTAAGTATAAAGTTACATCCATGTTCACAAATATCTATGCTCCCATAGATTCCCTGTCATTTATAAACAGGAGAGATAGTTACCTCTGTATTCCAGGGAAATTCCCCTTTTCAATTTCAAAATGCTTTTCTTATCCTAGCAGGGAGACTTGCCCTCCCTTAGGACTGAGCCTCCTCACTATTGAGGTCTTTGGTGATAGCCAGAGAAAATGACCACTCACTCTGGGACCTGAAGACATCCTATTCTCCGTCTGTACCAGCCAGAACTCATGGAGCTCCTTCGTTACTGATAGCTGGGCTCACTGCATGTTGACGTGTTCTGAGTTTTCTCCAAGAGCAAGTTATGTCTTTCAGTGAACTGAACAGCTGCTGGCCACAAGTTTGCCAGCTTGTGGTCTTATCTGCTCTCACACAAGAATAGACAACTACCCTGAGAAAAGTAGACGTCTCTCCTCTGTGATCTCTGCACACCTGGGCCAACTTGGGATTTTTTTGAAGTTTGTGTCTGTATGGGGACTGCACCATAGGGTGATCTCTGTTCTTTGTTTAAACTTCGAGGGCAAGTAGTAGATGTGCTGTCCTACATCTGTTACGTATGTGAGACACTGCCAGTAATTCTGCACCTTCTGGGGATGGGGGATGGGCTTTCTCTCTAGGCAACAAACACAGAACACACGCTCCCTCGCCATTTCATCGACGTTCTGAACCCTGCCCCTATCTAGATTACAATTAGGCACTATGCAACCCATTCTTTCATCTGTGATCAGGGAACATCTGAGAGAACCATCTAGACTTGGAAAGGGATGGCTGGAAGGCTTTCTCAACCGTGACCCTGACAGTTTGCCAGGGGATCATGACCAAGGTGGAATGAAGTGCCACCATCTTAAAAATAAGTCAGCTATTAGAGGATGTCGGCTTGTAAGGCACAAAGGGAGTGAAACCTGGACACATGAAAATCTTCCTGTTTGACTGTTTTAAATCTGCATTCTATCCATGCATGGTGGTCTCTGCTTCTGGTCTGGTCATTTTCACCAGGAACAAAGACTCAGTTCTGTCACTTGATGCTGCATATCCATTTGAAGTGCAGTCCTAATTAGTCTAACAGTAGAAACCCAAAGTCAGATGTTAGGGTGAAAGTTGAAAGATCAGGGGCTGGAGAGATGGCTCAGAGGTTAAGAGTATTGCCTCCTCTTCCAAAGGTCCTGAGTTCAATTCCCAGCAACCACATGGTGGCTCACAACCATCTGTAATGGGGTCTGGTGCCCTCTTCTGGCCTGCAGGCATACACACAGACGGAATATTGTATACATAATAAATAAATAAATATTAAAAAAAAAAAAGAAAGTTGAAAGATCAGAGAGACAGAGCAGCCAGCCACCAGAGAAATCTCAGCCCGAATTGGGGGGGGGTCCCCACTTCTCTAATTATGATGTCATGTTTACATAAATAAATCCTTCCAATTATGATATATATTTACATTGATGATGCCATGTCCCAACAATAAGGATGTCATAGCCATTTGTAATCTCATGCCGTCCATTTATAGTGTCATACTCTTCCAATTGTGATGCCATATGTTAACATTGATGATGTCATACCCTTCCAATTATGATGGCTCACCATCCCATTGATGATGTCATACTCTGAATTATGTCATACATTTACGTTTATGCTGTCGTATCCTTCCTGTTATGATATCATAGTCTTCCAATTACGGTGCCATGTATTTGTGGTGTCATGCCTTTCCAATTATGACATATTTACGTCTGTCTGTCTGTCTGTCTGTCTATCTATCTATCTATCTATCTCTACATATACATATGATTTACAGTGATGTCATATCCTGGTAATAATGATATCATAGTTTTCTAATTATGCTGTCATATATTTATAATGATTACATCATATCCTTCCAATATGATATCATAGTCATTATGATATCATGCCATTTATTTATGGTGTCATACCCTTCCAATTATGACATTACATGTTTACATTGAAGATGTCATATTCTTCCAATTATGATGTCATACCCCCTACTCATAGAGTCATAATCTTCTGATTATGATGTCACATTCTTCACATTATGATATCCTGAATTTCTGTTTATGATGTCATACCCTTCCAATTATGATGTCATATGTTTACATTGATATCATATCATGATAGTTTAATACCGTAATTTTCAAATAATGTCATATACTTACATTGATGTTATATCCTTCCAATCATGGTGTCTTCCCATTATTCAAAGAGTCTAATGCTGGGATTAAAGGCGTGCGCCACCATCGCTGTCTCGAAAAACCAAAAAAAAAAAAAAAACAAAGAGTCTAATGCTAGGTGGTTCATTGTCAGCATATTTAAAACATAGTACAATTTGGGAAAAGGTTTTTTTTTTTTTTCAATAATCATTCCCATTCAAGATTTCTAGGTAACAATCATTCCAATTCCAGGTACACAATACCTTAAGGTATGACTACGTAGAAACTCCTTTGCAAAGCACAGTGACCATGAGGGTGGGGCTGTAACTAAAATCTAATGTGGTCTCTATCGATAACATAGAGGTGAGCAGGTTATAAAATAGGTGTGGCACCCCCCTAAGGATGAGTTGTACTAGAGATAAAAGTCTAGGGAGGGAGAGTCTGGGATAGACGTTCTGAAGGGTGTCTATAGCAAAAGGGGTGAAGTCGGCCTCCACAAGTAACAAGATCATCAGGTCATTAACAATATCCACTCCCAACTTTCTGGGCAGGAAAACCTGTATTTATCTCCTCCATCAGGAAGAGGCCCCTGTGTGTTTAACAGTCCTGGTTCTCTAGTGATCTGTGGGCAAGAGACTTTTGTGCCTCTGATAAGTGGGAGGAATGATTGATCAGCAGTGCTGGATGAACCCAGCAGGCCGGTCAGATGAGGGTGGGCAGCTGGACACTGGGGTTTGTCCTGTTTTGCTAGGCAAGGGACTAGAACGACTACTTGTCAGGAAGACTCTTCCAGGTCTGTATGGTAGTTCATGTTAATAAGTAGTTTTTTTTTGAAATACTCAATAATTTTAGGTAACTAGCTTAAATTGTTTTAGCACTCAAGGCTGAGTCAAGAGGATTGTAAGGTTAGCCCAGACTGTTTAACAAGACATTGTCTTCAAAATAATAATCATTTTATCCATGATGTACTTTCTCTTTTTTAAGACATAGTGCAGGAAACAGTTTACTCTCCTGACACAGGGAAGGAAGACTTTAAAGTTACTACATCAGCTAAATACTTGAAGCAAGTCATTTTCTGTCCCACCAGCCATCTTCTAAATAATGACACTGAGACTTATTATTAATTATGAAAGTTTGGCCTATAGCTTAGGCTTGTTCCTAATTAGCTTTTACAACTTAATATTTTTTTTTCAAGACACGTTTTCTCTGTATAACAGTCCTGACTCTCTTGGAACTCGCTTTGTAGACCAGACTGGCCTCAGATTAATGGAGATCCTTCCTCTGCCTCCCAAGAAGTAGGATTAAAGGCATGCACCACCACTATCCAGGTTAACCTATAATTTTTAATCTACATTCAGTAGAGTGGCTTGACACCTCATCTCTCTGTCCTGCCCATCCTCCTTCCTCTGTGCTGACTGGCAGCTCTGCCTTTCTTCTTCCCAGAGTCCTTTTTGTTCCTGGAAATCCTGCCTAACCTCTTCCTGCCTAGCTATTGGCCATTCAGCTCTGTATTAAACTAATCAGAAGACGCCTTGGCAAAGACACATCTTTACAGTGCAAACAAATATTCCACAACAAATATTAATGCCTTTGACTGGGTATTTGACTTACTGTGACTGTTGTTGGTTTGTTTTGATATACACTCAGGAGCACTGTGAAGCCGTGCCTCACAAAGCAACTGTCTATGCCCAGCTGGTGGAGTCCAGAAGGATGTGGTCCTGGAACAAGCTGTTTCCTGTCCGTGTTCAGACTAGTCTCGGAGAGCAGGTCATCGTCCCTCCCTCAGAATTGGAGAGGTGTCCTGGTGCGCCTTCAGTCTATGACATTCAGCTGAACCAGGTGTCAACTGCTGACTTTACTGTCCTCAGTGATGTGCTACCAATGTTCAGGTACTGTGCTTTGAGACATTTGATCCGATTTCTCTTTATGGAATGGAAACCTAGCTGAATCCACTCCACATCAGTACCTTAGTTGGTCAGGTCTATAGTTGTAGAAGCTTAACAGTGGAGTGTGTGAGTTAAATTCTGCTTCAGTTCCTGAATATTCTTCCACAGCGTGGACTTCAGCAAGCAAGTCAGTAGCTCGGCAGCCTGCCATAGCAGGCAGTTTGTACCTCTGGCATCTGGCCAAGCGCAGGTGGTTCTGTCCTGGTGGGACATTGAAATGGACCCTGAGGGGAAGATCAGATGTACTATGGCACCCTTTTGGGCACAGACAGACCCACAGGAGCTTCAGGTAAGAGGCAGGAGCTAAGCACATTTCATGTAAGTCAGGAAACTTTTGTTTTGTTTTGTTTTGTTTTTTGGCTACTAGATCACTGTATCAGTCAAAGGCAAAGAAGCAGTTTTCTTTTGGGAAAACATACATGCACACACACAAGCACAGGGGACTCGGGATGTAAGTCAGCGATAGATAGAACACTTTCCTAGCATGCATGAGTCCCTATACTACATCCTGAATGCTACAAAGAAAATGATAATAAAAAAATAAAAATTAGAAAGCATGTAGGCAGTGGTAGTGCATACCTTTAATCCCAGAACTTGGAGGCAGAGGCAGGAGGATCTCTGTGAGTTCAAGGCCAACCTGGTCCTCAAGATAAGTTCTAGGACAGTTAGGGCTGTTATATTGAGAAACACTGTCTCGATAAACAGAAAAAGCGTAGCCTGTCAGTGTGCAGTGGACCTCTCCTCTCCGGGTGAGTTCATGGTTGACACCAGTGGCCACAGTGAGCAGCAGAAGTCTTAGTGAATTAGTTCTGTTATTCCCCTTTGTCCTGGTATAGCCAGTAATCCACAGGGTTTAGGTCAACTTGAAATGGAGAACTACAACTTCACTTCCTTTGGTTCAAAATCCACCTTCTCCAGTTTAGGGAAAATAAGCAGAGGAATATGAACTACAGAATGGAAATCCAGATTACTCTTCAGCATATGATACATTTTTACCTTTAAACTGCTATGAAATAAAAGAAAAAAACATAAATGAACTGCAATAAAATACTGTTATTAATAAATTGCCTATTAGTAAATACAGTTCAGAAAGTTTGATGGTGCACCAGTTGGGAATACAGGCCTGCACTATTTGGTTTAGTTACTTGGTATGTTTTCTCCTTGGATATAATGCTCTGGTCCCCGATTTACTACCTAGGCCAAAGGCTCTCACCGCTGTGGGGCTGCTGTTACTAGCCAGGCCTGGGAGCTCCTCACTCTACCTCTTTCTGATTGTTTGACCTAAGGCAGCTGTGGGTCACTCAGTGCATGTCAACTTCCTCTGCTGTCTTGGTCTCCAATAGGTAGTGTTTGTGAAATTTCAAAAATGGAATATTAGTACATTTTAGTTGCATGTCTTCAGAGAACTACAGTGTGTATTTTCTCCTTGAGTCTATATATAGATGTGCCAGGTAACTGTAGCGATACCCAGAGTGCAGGGTCTTGTGTCCAGGGAGTGGAAGGGTAGGTGTGGATCCCATGTCTTCTCACAGTCGATCATGTGTCCTTTCCAAACCACTGATGACTTCTATAGTATTAGGAATTTGAAAACTGAAGGAGTCTCCCTGATGAACTCACAAACCACTTTGATCCCATTTAGACTGCCTCACTTTGGGTTCTGTCACCAGCTCCCAGCATCAGAACTCAGAAGCCTCCTTGTTTATGGGAGAGGCAGATGTTAGGGAAGCACAAATTTCTCCAGTACAGGAAGGAATAGCAAGGAGAATATACCTGTTTATCCTTTCTTACTGTATATGTGGCTTTTGGACTTTTAGTTTTTAGTCTTCGTATTTGAACAGACATCTTAGATGCCTGCCTTTTTGCTAAATTCAGAACCAAGTGGGTGACCTATGTCCCAGGCAAGTGGGAGAAGCCTTGTCTTCATTTGCATATATGCTCTGAGTCTGAGAAAGCCTAGTTTCCTTGGTTCCTGGAAATTGCAATAAACAGGTGGTCACTCCATCAGAATTAAGCCGGGTTTTTGTTGTTGTTTTTTGTTTTTTTTGTTTTGTTTTCTTTTTGGAAAGAAGATCTTGCTGTATAGCAAGCTGACCCACACTCACAAGGTCACTCAGGTCAGTCTCAACTCAACTCATGCTCCTCCTCACCCAGCTTTCTCAGTGCTTGGATTACAGGTATATAGACACATTTAACTCAGGCACCAACTTTTTAGGATAGTTATTCTTCCTAATTTTTTCAAATGCTATTGCCATATTTTCTAAAAAACAAGATGTATATAAATTTACATTGGGCCCAACCATCGAAAATAACTACCTTTTTTGGATCTCTTGTTGTATTTTTATGCTGTATCATAATTTTTGTTTGTTTGTTTTTGTTTTTGTTTTTGTTTTTTCTGAGACAGTCTTTCTCTGTGTAACAGTCCTGGCTGCCCTCAAACTCACTGAGAACCGCCTGCTTCTGCCTCCCAAGTGCTGATATTAAAGGTGTGTGCCACCACCACCTAGCTTATAGTCTGTCATTTTTCATGTCTTTGAGTATTCTCTTTTTTAAAGATTTATTCATTTATTTATTATATATACAGTGTTCTGCCTGCATGTATGTCTGCACAACAGAAGAGGGCACCCGATCTCACTATAGATGGTTATGAGCCACCATGTGGTTGCTGGGAATTGAACTCGGGACCTCTGGAAGTGCAGGCAGTGCTCTTAACCTCTGAGCCATCTCTCCAGCCCCATCTTTGAGTATTCTTCATAAATATTTAACCTATTTCTGAACTGGACATTTATGTTGTTTCTGGGTTTTTGTTAGTACAAATCTGTTATATACATATTTATGTGAAAATAGCTTCTTTTCTTTTTCTTGTTTTCCTTATATGTAGGGTTTTCGATAAGGATGATCACAATTTATTAAAGGTTACCTTGGACTCAAGTGAGTTTAGTGATAGAGTAGTTGCCTAACGTGTATAACACTCTGGGTGTTTACTCTCCAGTCTGAGTCACTGTAGATCATGCTTCACAATTTAGAATATTCTAGTTCTTTTTTTTTTTTTTTTTTTTTTTTTGGTTTTTCGAGACAGGGTTTCTCTGTGGTTTTGGAGCCTGTCCTGGAACTAGCTCTTGTAGACCAGGCTGGTCTCGAACTCCCAGAGATCCGCCTGTCTCTGCCTCCTGAGTGCTGGGATTAAAGGCGTGCGCCACCACCACCCTCTAGTTCTTAAAAAAATCAAAAACAAGAAACTTGACCTGGGTGATGGTGGCGCACGCCTTTTAATCCCAGCACTCAGGAGGCAGAGGCAGGTGGATCTCTGTGAGTTCCAGGCCAACCTGGTCTACAGAGTGAGTTTCAGGACAAGTTCCAAAGCTACACAGAAAAACCCTGTCTCAAAAAACAAAAACAACAACAAAGCTTCATTTAATTCAAAGACGTAAGCCAAACAACCTTTCTTTGTTATTTTAAATTTTTGGGTGTGTGTGATGCAATGTGGTCTGTGTGTGAGTTATGGTGTAAGTAGTGTACGTACTTGTTAGTATTGGTGTATGCGTATGTGCCTGTAGGTGGGCCTGTGCATGTATGTATGGAGTCAGAGGTCCCTGTCCACCTTCATTTTTTAGACAGGATCTCTCTTAAACCTGAAATCCACTGATTTGGCTAGACCGCTCAGGGATGCACCTGTCTCTGCCCCCCTTCCTCCCCAGCTTTGCAGTTCTCCCACGGGTGCTGGGCATTTGACCTCAGGTCTTCTTGCCTTGCAGCAGTCACGATCCCGATTAAGCCATCTTCCCCATTTTCCCAACTTTTGTTTTGAAAACTTGTAGAGTCACAGAATAAGTGAAAATGAACACTGATAGTGCCTTTACTTCAGTTTATTAGTTGTTAATATTTCCCGTACTTGCTGTCTCTCTCTCTCTCTCTCCTCTCTCACTGCACACCCAGTTTTTGCTCAGTCATTTGACAGTAAGTTACAAACATCTAACTCTTGACTCTTTGATACTTAAGAGAATAAAGCAGTTTCATCATAATCAAATACCATCATCACACCTAAGAAAATCAACAGTATTCTATTCCATAACATCTAACATGGTTCAAAATAAAATTTCCTTAATTGTCCCAAAGACCTTTGATAGCTTTTGTTTTCCTTGTCTAGGATCCAGTTATATATTATGTATTATATTTGACCTTTCTGTGTTTTGAAACTATTTAAAGGCAGAAGGAAATTCTGTATATATATTAAAGCCTTGGAATATGTCCCAAGAGGCTCTTAGAGCAGGGTTTCCCCTGGGCCACTAGGTCAGCCTTGGTTGTGAGTCAGAATTTTTCCTTCAAATGAAAGATGGCTTATAGTCCAGCAGGTGAAGGAAAGAGCTTTGGCGCTTGTGCTGGCTAGTTTTATATCAACTTGACACAGGCTAGAGTCATCTAAAATGAGGGAACCTCGATTGAGAAAACGCCTCCATAAGATCCAGCTGTAGGGCGTTTTCTTAATTAGTGACTGATGGGGAGGCCCCAGCCATTGTAAGTGGTGCCATCCCTGGGCTGGTGGTCCTGGGTTCTATAAAAAAGCAGGCTGAGCATGCTGGTAAGTAGTACCTCTCCATGGCCTCTGCATCAGCTTATGCCTCCCAGTTCCTGCCCTGATTGAGTTCCTGTCCTGACTTCCTTCAGTGATGAACAGCAATATAGAAGGATTAGCCATAGAAACCCTTTCCTCCCCAAGTTTTTTGTTTGTTTGTTTGTTTTGTTTTTGTTTTTTAAGACAGGGTTTCTCTGTGTAGCCCTGACTGTCCTGGAACTCTCTTTGTAGACCAAACTGGCCTCAAACTCAGAGGTCTACCTGCCTTTGCCTCACGAGTTCTGGGACTAAAGGCATGGGCCACCACACCATGCAGCTGGTTGTTTCTGGTCATGGTGTTTTTTTTTTTTTAATCCAAATGGTCATTTATTCTAAAACTGGAACTACTGTGCCTACATTTGTTGCCAGAATGATGTAATGAGAACAGGGAAGAGGTACAGATGTAAACAATGACACAGTTACTTTTTTTTTAAAATGGTAAAACCCTTTTTTTCTTTTTTTACTGGCCACTTCCAAGAATGCTTTACAGGTTGTGCAAAAACATTTACAGGCTCCATGTGGTGTTTGTTTTTCTCACAAGCTTTTCCATCTACAACTACAACAGAAGTCTGATAAAACACTAAACAAGTCTTCTAAGGGAAACAAAGCCAGGTTCCCTCCTGTTACCATAATCCACCCCCCCCCCATGGTCATGGTGTTTTAATCAGAGCAATAGTAACTCTAACTATGATGGCACGGCTTTGTGAGGAGAGAGCAGAGCCTGCACTTGTCCCTTCTAAAACTTCCTTAGAAGGCCACCCCCAGTGATGTCTTCTAAAGTCAGCCGGGATCCAGAAAGCTTTTTGGGACACTGACCTCTCTGATTAGAATTTTCCTTTATCTTTAGGGCCATAATAGGCACTTATAGACTATGCCATATGTCTGTTCAACTAAAGGCTCTGGGCCTTTGACCTGGAAGCACTGTTGTCACAGCGTAGTGAAAGCTGGCTCTCTACTCCTCGTTTCAGTGGCGGGACCACTGGATGCAGTGTGTGTACTTCTTGCCGCAGGAGGAGCCCATTGTTCAGGGCTCACCCCGATGCCTGGTTGCCCACCATGATGACTACTGTGTGTGGTACAGCCTTCAGACAACCAGGTATGCCTGTTGCTGGTGTGGAGGACCAGCCCTCAGAGTCTACACTGACGTAAACTCTCCGTTGGACAGACCTTGCAGAGATTTGTTTTTTTTTTTAATTTATTTATTTATTAAAGATTTCTGTCTCTTCCCAGCCACCACCTCCCATTTCCCTCCCCCTCCCCCAATTAAGTCCCCCCCCCCCCTCAGCCCGAAAAGCAATCAGGGTTCCCTGTCCTGTGGGAAGTCCAAGGAACCCCCCACCTCCATCCAGGTCTAGTAAGTTGAGCATCCAAACTGCCTAGGCTCCCACAAAGCCAGTACGTGCAGTAGGATCAGAAACCCATTGCCATTGTTCTTGAGTTCTCAGTAGTCCTCATTGTCCGCTATGTTCAGAGAGTCCGGTTTTATCCCGGGCTTTTCCAGACCCAGGCCAGCTGGTCTTGGTGAGTTCCCAGTAGAACATCCCCATTGTCTAAGTGTGTGGGTGCACCCCTCACGGTCCTGAGTTCCTTGCTCGTGCTCTCTCTCCTTCTGCTCCTGATTTGGACCTTGAGAATTCAGTCCTGTGCTCCAATGTGGGTCTCTGTCTCTGTCTCCTTTCATCGCTTGCTGAAGGTTAATATTCAGGAGGATGCCTATATGTTTTTCTTTGGGTTCTCCTTATTTAGCTTCTCTAGGATCACTAATTATAGGCTCAATGTCCTTGGTTTATGGCTAGAAACCAAATATGAGTGAGTACATCCCATGTTCCTCTTTTTGGGTCTGGCTTACCTCACTCAGGATAGTGTTTTCTATTTCCATCCATTTGTATGCAAAATTCAAGAAGTCCTTGTTTCTTACTGCTGAGTAATACTCTAATATGTATATATTCCATACTTTCTTCATCCATTCTTCCATTGAAGGGCATCTAGGTTGTTTCCAGGTTCTGGCTATCACAAACAATGCTGCTATGAACATAGTTGAGCATATACTTTTGTTGTATGATAGGGCCTCTCTTGGGTATATTCCCAAGAGTGGTATTGCGGGGTCCAGGGGTAAGTTGATCCCGAATTTCCTGAGAACCTTGCAGAGATTTGAATGGGTAGATTTATATCAGAACAGAATGAAATAAGAGCAAGGGCCAGAAAGATGGCTCTGCGGGTAAAGGTGCTTATAGTCAAAGCTGATGACCTGTGTTCAATCCCCAGAATCCACATGGTGGAAGGAGAGAGCTCATTCCACAAAGCCCTCTGACCCCAACACAAACGCCGTAATAATAATTTAAAAAGCAGAAGTTTGTAGCGGGGAATATCAGTGTGTTTGTGTATATGTAGAAACTGTTATGGATTGGTAAGTTCTGTTCAAATATATGTAAAGTATGGGATCACAGGGCTCTGTAGCCCCCAGTGTGCTAGTGTCCAGACTCACCTGGACTCTTGTAGAGTGTGCATGTGTCTCCCAGGGCCCAGGCTTAGTTTTGGTGTTCCCATCCCCTGTACCATGCTCTCGTGCTCTCCAGTTATCACTTATGTTTGGCTTTTCCCCTCCCTGCTCAGTGCTGATGAGAATGCGAAAGTCTACCAAGTGCGCCCTGTGTGTGATTGTCAGGCTCACCTGCTCTGGAACCGGCCTCGGTTTGGAGAGATCAATGATCAGGACAGAACTGACCAGTATGCCCAAGCCCTGAGGACTGTAAGTGTCCCTGTCTTTATGCTTGGGTCTTACTGCTTTACTTATGTTTGCTCTTACAGTTTTGTTTTGTCTTTCCTGTCAATATCTCCAACTGGCCTCATCTGGAGCAGACCCTGGAGAGCCTGGGAACTTGTTCTAGACTCTCCTTGTTCTCTGCTCTGTGAGAGGTCCCCTGGGTGTTCACTCTTCCCACGAGAGCTTCTCTGAGAGCCTTTTCCCAGCCCAAACTTATGCTAGATACCATTACCTCTGTAGTCACCAGCAGCTGGTGTGGGTGATCACACCGTAAGCTACACCTCTCCCGTTTCCATCTGCTGTAAATCTGACCGTGGCGCCCTCTGACCTGGGTTCAGTCTGGAATCCGCAGATGGCATTTAGAAGGAGTCTCCTGGACCCCTGGGAGTTGTGTACAGAAATATGTCTGCACATGCATGCATTCTGTGGGAAGAAGACCTCAGGCTGCCATAAGTTCCTCTGCAATGGATCTGTGACCCTACCTTTGAAGGGTACATGGGCCAGATGGGGAAGGGATCGGCTAACATAGATTAGAGGGCACCTTCCTGGACCATGTATGCCTTTAGCTGGGCCTTCTGGCAGAGTGTGGAGGGTCTTTCCTAGCAGTGGGCCCTGGTGGGAAGAGTGAGTGAGTGCCATGGCTGGTTACTGTGTGCCTGAGAAGGCAGGCATGGCAGTGTGGGGGCAGGAAGGAAGATGAGAATTGCTGTATTCAGAAATTTAAGGATCTGGAGAGAAACGGCTCAGTGGTAAGGGCCATTGTTACTCTTCCCTTGGACCTGGGTTTGGTCCCTAGTACTCAGTTCTAAGGAATTTGATGCCCCCTTCTGGCCTCAGTGGATTACAAATCCATAGGAAGGCAAAATACCCATATGCATAAAATTAAGAAAAAACAAAAACCAGGAAAATGAAGCCTATGAGTGCAGCTGGGAGAAGGGCACCATGTCTGGTAGCTTGTCAGGAGGAAGCCCCTGGACTAAGGTGACCTCTGCTGATCCTGCTCTTTTCCCACAGGTGCTGATGCCAGGTACCATCTGTCTTTGTGTCAGTGATGGCAGTCTGCTCTCTGTGCTGGCCCATCACCTCGGGGCAGAGCAGGTACTGGGATATGCTTTTGTCATCTCTGTAAGGTTGTTCTTCTCTTTTCATTTTAAGATTTATTGTATTTTCTATTTTGTTGTTTTTCACTTTTTTTTTTTTTTTAAAGTTGACTCTTGATTTAGGGCCTGGTGTAGTTCAGGCATGAGTTTCTGTGTTCAAAGCCCTTTGCAGATGTAGCTTTTGTTGGTGGAAGGGCCTTGGTTTGGGGGCTGAGGAACTTTACTGTTTCCATTCGTGGTCAGGAACCAAGTAATGGCTACCACTGGCAGGTAGCTGCAGCATAGGGTTCTGAGTTGGCCATTTTCCGGAGTGAATTCCCAGTAGAGCTGCTGTCTCAGGGAGGCAGAAAGGCCGGGCCATTGTTTCACTGTCTTCTTGACAGGTTTTCATCTTGGGTGTGTCTACCTTCTTTAAGTTTGTCTCTCGTGTTCTCTTCAGGTGTTTACAGTTGAGAGTTCTGTAGCTTCCTACAGACTGATGAAAAGGGTAAGTGACAGTTGTTACCGAATTCCTAAGGGGACTGTTGGCCCTGCCTTCTTGAGTCTGGGACGGGTGACTTTGCAGTATGAACACAGCCAGGAACTAGTAGAAATAGCCCAGCTTCCTGGCTGTACCTGCTACCCAGAGAGCTGCCTTTTGGCTTTGGGGCAGATGTTTAATTAGTAGGATTTTTGCCGGGCAGTGGTGGCGCATGCCTTTAATCCCAGCACTCGGGAGGCAGAGGCAGGCAGATCTCTGTGAATTCGAGACCAGCCTGGTCTACAAGAGCTAGTTCCAGGACAGGCTCCAAAACCACAGAGAAACCCTGTCTTGAAAAAAAAAAATTAGTAGGATATTTATGTATGTTTTGAGACAGGGTCTCACTATGTAGCCTTGGCTGGCCTGTAACTCCCTGTGTAAACCAGGCTAGCCTCAAACTCACAGAGGTCTACCTGTCTCTCTCTTCCAAGTGCTGTGATTAAAGTTGTGCACCACCTTGCCAGACTTCTGGCGTCCAATCAGAAGCAAATGTTTGCACTCTACTTTTGGTTTTTGTAGTTGAAGAAGTTTAGCCTTTTCTCATTTCAATACATAAGAATAAGAAATTAGCATCTTTGTGTAAGTAGAACTAAGTGATTTGCTCCTGGGAATAACTTACTCTTCCAAAACTGCGAGACCTATAATAGGTCCTGGATGATGAGATATCATTGGTTCACGACCTCTTTCATGGTCAGTAGGAGGTGCTCAAAGAGATGTTTACACAAGCAGATGAAGTGGTATCCTAGAGCCATTTGGCCAGAAAACTCAGCAGGGAAGGTAACTTTGAGAGGTGTTAGTTTTAACTTTTTATGATACTGCAGATTGAATCTAGGTCTCAAGCACACCAGCAGGCTCTCTGCCATGGAGCTTCTGCTCAGTAATTGTTTTCCCCAGGTCCAAAACAATTTGTGAACATAAAGATGTTTATATTCTTTCTTTTGAAGATCTTCAAGGCTAACCACCTGGAAGACAAAATTAGTATCATCAAGAAACGGCCTGAGTTGCTAACGTCTGCAGACCTGGAGGGTAAGAAGGTGAGCCACTGGGGCTTATGTGAGTGGGGACAGAGTGATACCGTGTAACCTAATCTCCACCCTGTCGCCTTAGCTAAATGTTATGTGATGTTCTTGTTGCAGCTTGGCCAACAGAGACCTCACCAATATGAGGGTGGGTGAGGGTTTGTATAAAGGCCCAGTGAACATGGCACTGGGCTCCTGTGCCTCTCAGATGAGAGCAGAATAATTTGAGGTTAAGGAACATGGTGTACCACCTCTCCTTTCCCTCTTCAGTAAAGTCCTCTTTGAAGGATTCTTTTTGCTCAGATCTTTTTACCCCCCAGAGCTGCTCACCAGGAACCTGGTTACTAAGCACCAGCTCTCTGCAGGCTTTTCTTTGTTTTGAGAAAGGGTTGTTATATAGACTAGGTTGATCTTGATCTCACAGAGCTCCGCCTACCTCTGCCTCCTGAGTGCTGGGATTAAAAGCATGTGCCACCATGGCTGGCTGTGTTTAGCTCCTTGAGAAGCTGCTGAACTGTTGTCCGTAGTTGCTGGTTGTGCCTCTCCAAAAGTATGTGAGGCTCATTTTGTGGTTCCTCTCCTTTCAGTGTAGCCAGTTGGTATATCGTTGTGGTTCTGATATGTATTTTCATGATAGCTAATGATATTGAACATCTTTTCATGTACTCATAAGCTGTTTATAAGTTATATTTGAATATCTGTTCAAGCCTCTCGCCTATTTTCCCTCATGCCTTTTATAAAATGACAGCTTGAGATGAATTCATACAGTATACAAAGCACTCATCTAACGTATATGGCTGGTTGACTTAGTGTATTTGTAAAGTATACCACCATCACTAGGTCAACTTTAGGGCATTTTTATTACCCTAAAAGATACTTTTTGTTGGTGGTTACACTTATGTGCCACCAACAAAACCCTAGACCATGAGTAGGTTACTTTCTGTCTTTGTGGGTTTGCCTATTCTGGACAAGAAATATAAATGAATTTATACAATGTATAATCCTTTGTAACTGACTTTTTTCATTTAACATAATATTTTCAAGGATCATCCATGTTATAACTTAAGTCAATGCTTCATCTCTTCCTATTGTTGAACAACACTCCATTGTATGTATATACCACACTTCCCATGTCAGTAGGTGAACATTTGTGCTATTGATATTTCTTGGCTATTTAGAATAGTGCTACTTAGAACATTCAAGTACCAGTTATGTTTTCCTCCTCCTCTTCCTCTTCTTCATCTCTCATTTTTGTTTTAAAGATTTATTTAGCTGGGTGGTAGTGGCACACACCTTTAGTCCCAGCACTCAGGAAGCAGAGATAGTGGACCTCTGTGAGTTTGAGGCCAGCCTGGTCTACAGAGTGAGTTTCAGGACAGGTTCCAAAGTTACAGAGAAACTCTTTGTCTCAAAAAAGAAAAAAAAAAGGATTTATTTATTCATGTATTTTATTTATTTATTTATTTGGCTTTTTGAGACTCCAGGTTCCTATTGGGTAGAAATGATGAAATGGTGAGAGAAGGCGTCCGTGTGATGTTCCCGATGCTGGGGTAGAAGTGAAGGACGGGGAAGTTTCCTGGCCAACCCTGGTCCGGCTTCCATTGTACCATTGCATGTCCTCTGGTTCCCATCCACTGAGTCCTGGGAGTCTCCTCAGACTCTGCCCCAGTTTCCCACACACACTTCAGCCTGACTGCTGTGGCATTCCCTTAGAATACCTCCAATCTTCATCTCCACCTGCAGAGTTCTACACGTTCTTCGTGGTCCTCAGAAGGGTTTTTTATTATTTTATTTTTTAATACTTATTTTTATTTTGTGTACATTGGTGTCTTGCCTGTATTGTGTGTATGTCTATGGGAGGGTGTTGGATCCTGGAGTTTCATTACAGACAGGTGTGAACCGCCATGTGGGTGTCTGGAATCGAACCTGGGTCCTCTGGAAGAGCAGTCAACACTCTTAACCCCTGAACCATCACCCCAGCCCCCCAGAAGGGTTTTTTAAAATACATGTCTTGTATCTTTTGAATCCTTGATAAAGCTGTTAGGAGCCCCTCTTACCTTCAGGGCAAGGTGAACCTGCTTAGCTATTTGGCCATTTGGAGTCTTGCTGGCCTGGCCTCATCCTCTCCCGACAAATCTCGAGGCCTTGTTCTCACTTACACCCATGCTGGGCCTCTGCCCCTTTGTCTGGCTTCTCTGACTCCTAGTCGTCTAGCTGTTTGTGTATTCACAAATGCCGGCTGAACTGTAGTCCACCAGGCACCACAGTGCCTGTGTCCACGTTGGTTTAGTGCAGTGAGGTGACATGTTGTTCATCTGGTACCGACAGTGCACTGGGGAACAGCTCGGTCTGTGAGTGGAGGAGTCTATTCTGCAAGCCCTTTCTGAAGCCCCTGTGTGCGCTTATTTCTCGCTTCTTTCCCATAAAGATCACTCTCCCTTGTTTGTGTTGTTCTTCTACTCCATAATCCTCTGTGTCTTCAGGGGCGTGCTCTTCTGTTGGCTGAGTGATGAGGAGAGAATGACCTGGTGCATGTTCCTGTGAAATTGCTGAGCTGCCCTTCACTGAGAGCCTCACTCCTGATACCTGACTTCTTCCTGTTTTGGTTGCCAGGTCTCTCTGCTCCTGGGTGAACCCTTCTTCACCACCAGCCTGCTGCCATGGCACAACCTATACTTCTGGTATGTCCGTACCTCTGTGGATCAGTACCTGGAGCCTGGAGCTGTGGTGATGCCCCAGGCTGCCTCACTGCACGCCATGGTCGTGGAGTTCAGGGTAGGCAACAGGAGGGTGGGGAAGCTTCAGAGTCGGTGGGTGCAGACTGAACAGCTTGGGCCCTGGTGATGGGCCTTTCTTTTCTACATCAGTGGCTGCAGGATGGAATAGAGGAAGGCTACATTTTTATAAAGCAGTAATTTGACATATGAAATGGAAATGACTGTGTGTTGTCATTTTACAATTGCGGCTTATCAGAATAATTAAAAACATAAATTAAGTGTTTCAGGAGCGTGCTGTGCAGCTAGCTGTGCTCTTGTGGAGAACAGAGGCTGCATTTGTTAGGGCATTCTGAGATGGGGACTTCTCTTTTTTATGCACGAAAAAATAGAAAAGCTTTATTTTAATTCTCTCATCAAAACAGAGCCAGTCACCAAGTCATTTTAGAAAAGGCATTTTTTTTATTGAAAGGATTTTGAAGTGCTTTGAACCTAAAATGAAGACTGAATCATATTTGATATTCCTTTTATGAGAATGGCTCTATTTGTGGTACCCTCGTGGCTCTATCACTTAATTTCTGTGTTAATTATCTGATGGAATTTCCATATGGATTGTGACTCTCATGACTAAAGAGTGGCTATAGAGAAGTTTGCTTATTCCCAGGCCCAAGGAGCAGGGCATGGAAGATGGACTGGCTAGACAGTGCTTTGGGGCCCTCTCCTGTCCTTTTATGCAGTGTTCCCAGGCTCCTAGAGAACTACTTACAGAAGCCTCAGCCTCATAGTTCTGCTTGGTTGTCTTCTTCATTTACACAGTCTTATACCCGTCTGTCACACAAACCACTCTGGCTCTTCAGCGTCTTTGTCACTTTTTCCTGGGCCAGGGGTGGGCAGTGGTGTCCTGTGTCTATGGTATATAGAACAGCAAGCTTTGCCTGCCTGTGGTTCTGCTTATTGGTTTGTTTTGAGTCAGTTTTGGCCTGGAACTCACTGTGCAGCCTCAAATTCCCAGTGATCCACCTCCCTTTGCCTCCCAAGCACTGGGATTAAAGTTTTGTGTCATTTTGACCAGCACTCCTCTTAACCCGTAGTCATGTAGCCCAGATGTAACACAGGACTGTTCTTCCTTCATAGGACCTGTGGCGGATCCGGAGCCCTTGTGGTGACTGTGAAGGCTTTGATGTGCACATCATGGATGATATGATTAAGGTAACCAGAACTGGCTCGACCTGCCGCCTGCAATGCTACAAGTTCAGCAGTCCAGGATACTTAGTAGAACTGCCTCAATTTTTTTAAAAAAATTAAAAAACAAAACAAACAAACCAAAAACAAAGGGCTGGAGAGATGCTCACTGGTTAGGAGCACTGGTTGTTCTTCCAGAGGACTGGTGTTTGATTCCCAGCACCCACATGGTGGCTCACAATCAACTGTAACTCTAGTCCCAAGGAGTATGATGTTCTCTTCCAGTCTCCATGGTAATCAAGCATACATGCAGACAAAGCACCCATACACATAAAATAAAAATTCAAAACAAAACCCCAAACCAAAACCCCTGTGGTGGAGGGCACGGGATCTAAGAATATTCCTGCCTAGCATCGTGTAGTCCTGGGTGTGCACTCTCTAGGGTCATTAAAAGCATAGATAGTGGGATACAGCTCTGAGTCCTCTTCTCCCCTACATTTCCTCAAAGCTATAAACCTCTGGCAGGTCTGATGGGGGCAACATAAATAGTGTATAGAAAGAGCTTCTGTTTTGGGTGGTGAGGCCAGTGCTGCCATTGTGTTTGGCCCACCATGAGCATTAACCTGAGAATCAGTGCATGGTACCAGCCGCATTCATAGCCCTGTGCTCTAGTGTCTGCTGGAGTGGAAGAACTAGTTAGGAGGCAGAGTTGTGTAAAGAGACCTTATCAAAGAAAAGAGGACTAAGATAGTTTACAGAGGCAGACACCTCTGCTGGGTGTCACCAGGCCTTGTCTTTCCTGCCTCCCCAGTGCTCAGCCCTTCTACTCACGTAGATCCGGCACCCTTCCTGCCAGTTCTGCCTCCCCTTCAGGTTCCCAGGGAGTCTTCAGTTCAGGTTTCTCCTGCCAGCCTTGTCAGAAACACTGTGGTCTATATGACTTTCTACCTCTCCCCCCTCAGTCTTCCTCTACACAGTGTCCAAGAAAATGCACATCTTACAGGACTCCACCCTCCTGCGTGCAAGGGCCATACCCATCCTCTTGAGGTTCCTGGTGTGGCCACTGCTTGTCTTTCCTGCTTGACTCTTGTCTGTGTCCCCTTCCAGCCTTTTGACCTCCAGCTTCCTGCCTAGAGTCATCCATAGATAGCTCCGCTATCCTGCTTCTGCCCACACAGTCTGTTGTCACATAGGCACGAGTGCTTTTCCCAGGCACTGGGCTTGCTTATTTACTTGTCCATTTTCCTTGCTTCTGCACCCCATCAGGGTAGTGTCATGGTAGCGGGTGAAAGAACCGGAATCACAAAGACCAAATGCTCAGCACAAAGGACATTTATTTGTCCCAGAAGGGCAACAAAGCCAGGAGATAGAGGATGAGGGGGAGGGGGAAAGAAACAAGGGGCCTATTTGCCTTGGAGAGACAAAGGACTGCCTCTGGATAGAGAGGAGACAGATATGGCCCATAGGCAAATGACAGTTTATAAAGGGAAGCCCTCATGTTAGGATAAATTGGTTAATTTTGATTGGGCATGTTAATTGGGATAGTCGGAGAAGGACTACTTTTGATTGCTGAACTTCAGTACTTTGATAGCTGGACCTTGGTGATTAGCCTCAGGAGGAAGAAGTGACCAAATAAGGGGCTAGATCTTGGTGACTAGCTTTAGGAATGTAATCTAATAGTTTAGCAGGGCAGAGGGAATAGGGGAAGGGCAAAGCCTGCCAGAGCCCTGTTTGCCTTGCTTGGGCCTGCGTTGCCATGCACAGACCAGCTAGAGCCATTTGGTGGGCAGTATCAGTAGAGGTGAGTGAATGTCTCCCTTTTATCCCCCCCCCCCCCCAAAGACACTTGGTTCTCAGAGTATGTCAAGAGTGGGCATTGTCATCCTTGTTTAAAAGGGAAGCTGGGACTTGGGGAAGTGAAGTGACCTTCTAATGAATGGACAGGGAAGCGAGAAGCTGGTTGTTACTACCAGGTACCCAGTGGTAGGTGACAATGTGCTGGCCCCTATGAGTGCAGTTTCACAGGAGGACTAGGCCCCAGAAATGAGGGTACTCCTGGCTGGCTGCAGTTCGTCTCTACAGATCTGTTCTCTTCTCTTCTAGCACTCCCTGGATTTTCGAGAGAGCAGGGAGGCAGAGCCCCATCCATTGTGGGAGTACCCATGCCGCAGCCTCTCGGAGCCTCAGGAGATTCTGACCTTTGATTTCCAGCAGCCCGTCCCCCAGCAGCCTGTGCGTGCTGAGGGCTCCATGGAACTGAGAAGGTGAGTAGAAGCTACAGCGAGTTGTGGGGTGAAGACAGTAGAGGGACTTAGAGATGACATAGTTGTGAAGGACAAGCAGCTTGGTGTCATACTCTTGGCCCAGGAAGTGTCCTCCCATCCCGCCCCATCCCATTATGGAGGGTCCACAGCCTTTGAACATGTGCTGGTCAGGGAGAACTGGAGTGGGCCTTGCTTACTTCCCTATCTGCCGCTCCTTGTTGTATCAAGCTGCAGACTAACATGAGTTTGGTTTCTATGGTTATCCACTGGCCCTCCTGAATTCTCTTGGGAGTTAAAGCAGGTCAGAATTGGTGAGGGCTGCTTGCTGCAAGGTGAGGGAGACCCCACCCAGTTCCAGCTCCCTTCACAGTAGAGTGTTACCTCCTCCCTAAGGGAGCCATATGTCCAGAGCTCCGAGAGCTTTTTACACCAGGGACAAGCAGCCAGGTCAGGGCAAATGCCACTGCCCAGGGAATCTTCATTGTCAGCCCTGGGAGCAGCTGTGCTCAGAGGTTTCTATGCTCAGGCTGTGGGGAGTGGGGAGTTGAGAGCTGTGGCTGCTGTGGCTTGACCTTTTCTGCTAGGCTTTACCAACATGGTTGAGGAGTACATAAACTCCCGACTGGGAGGGAGGGGAGTGGTAGAGGTTTCAGAAAAACAGAAAGATGTGTTTGATCAGACTCATCCATGTCTGTGTGACTGTTTGACTCTGTACTCTACAGACCCGGGAAGAGCCATGGGGCTGTCCTGTGGATGGAATATCATCTGACGCCAGACAGCACAGTCAGCACCGGCCTCATGAATCCTTTGGAAGACAAGGTAGCACTGTGGGCACCAGGCCCAGAGTATGTGCCTACCCTAGAGCTACTTGTTCCTCCTTGTGCTCTGAGTATCCCTGTTCTGTGCCCTTCAGGTCAGGTAACTCCCAGGTGGCCCAGGTTACTTCCCACTGTTAGTTACATGGGCTGGAAAGGTGACTTGGGTGCCAAGGACCCTTCCCATCCTTTTGCTACTCATCCTGCAGGGGTACTGCTCCTGGAACCCCCACTGCAAGCAAGCTGTGTACTTCTTCAGCACCACACTGGATCCCAGAGTTCCTCTGGATGGCCCTCAGTCAGTCAGCTATGCTGTGGAGTTTCACCCCCTCACTGGAGACATCACCATGGAGTTTAGGCTTGCCGACACCTTGAACTAACCTTCCCTTGTTGAGAAATTAAATGGCCAATAGGCTGCAGACTCTGAGTGGTGTGGGGCTCAATGGGGAAGGAAGGCCAAAGAACTTATTCACTTGCATGCACCTACTTGGCGTCTGCACAGAGGAGACCTTTTTTATTTTTGTATCTTAGTGCTGCTGGCTCCCAGCATCAGGTGTGGCAAGCAGAATAGGCTGTTGACTGATTTAAGAGTTCTGAATCGACCAGGGAGAATGTTCTGTGCTTCTGAGAGTTCAGAAAGCTCTGCTGTAGTAATGCTTTCTGTCCTACCTCAAGGAGAACTAAGGAACAACCTTCACTGGGACTAAGGTAGGACTGTCCACTTAGCTGGAACCTACCTAGCCTGTTTTCTAGGAATTTCCGGGTCTCTGCTAGAGAATGGCCTTCTAGGGAGTTCCTTGGGGGCTTCCTGATCCTGGTAAGACCTGTGTTGAGAGGACTAGGCTCCCCTGCTAATAAGTAGCTTTACTAAGCGACATTCATACACATTTGGGTATCTGGCCTCAGTGCACATGTGCAGGTGGCCTGATAAGCCATGAGACCACACATCGGTTGCTGCTCACAGGGCTCAAGCAGTTTCCTGTGGAAAACCAGTAGGAAGAAAACTAGGAAAGTCGCCTTCTCCTCTAATCTGAAGGCCTTGCTCCCCAGTTGGCCACAGCCCTGTCCCACCTCTGCCACTCCTCACTCTACTCTTGCCAATGACCTCTCTGTAAAGGATTTGAGAGGTACCCAGTGGTGGAACCTAGATGGCTAAATCCCTAGCATTTCAGGGCAGACATGGGCTGTGTCCCCATAGTCATTCCCCAAAGCCCCTAGGCTGGGATCAACTCTGGAAGTGTGTAGGCCCTCCCCAGTTTGTCGTGCACATCAGTACAGAACCAGCACATGAGCCTTGAGCCTCACAGTTTTATTTTCTCTTCATTCTCCATCCTTCCTTTCAGCACCATAAAGGAAAAATCCACCTCTTTTTTTTTTTTTTTTAAATCAGGCATAAAGATTGTTTTTCTTCTAGGGAAGAGTCGTCTGGATATATATTTGATAATGTTTTACCAAAACCTTAGGTATCTTACCATATAAAACCCCTAATGTCCCATGAGGATACAATACAGAAATTAAAAAAGTTTTCTTCTTTTTCTTTTAAAACAGTATTTCTAAATCTGAGCAAGTTAATACAATAGTTAAAAAGCATCAAGGTTAATATTCATACTTAAAACTCCAGATGGTTTGGACAAATAAAGGTGAATGAATGGTCTTTCCTAAGCTAACGCACTTACCTAGCGCTTCCCTTGAGGGGTCCCAGGCAGGCAGAGCTGCAGTTGGGAGTCAAGTGATCCCTGTGATTGCCCCTGTCTAGGCCTTCGCTGCCACAGAATCTGGAATCCTGGCAATGCCTCTTTTCCAGAAGTTGGACTATAAAGGCCTGGCAGTACACAAGTCCTGAGTCCATAGGCAAACCACAATGAAATGTGTGGCAGATGGTATGGCCTCAGTGCTGAGTGATGTGTGGGGGAGCTGGAAGGCAGGCTGTCCCTCCTCTGGACTCCAGAACCTGTCTGTAACAAGATGACGGAGGCACAGGGCGGTACAACTTGCCTAAGGCAGCCCTGGGAGTTGGGAAGGAGAGAAGCATGTGGCTCTGACTCCAGACATGTTACCCTGGCTCAGGTTTAGGGACCCTGGCCTCGGCCTCATCTACTTTCCTGTGCACAGTGCCATTGGTGTAGGGATTGGGCCGCCCGTGGTGCCCAGCACGAGCAGAATCCTGGTTCTTTCCAGGGCTGGGACCTTTGATTCCAGGAGGCCTTCCCAGATTGCCGGAAGGCCAGGCCCAGGCAGAAGAGGGGCACAGCAGAGAACCCAGCAGGGCTGCCCTGCCCCTGGACACTGGAGCATGGGGTGGGGCTCCCTAGGCCCAAAGATTTGGACAAATGGATGTCACCAGCTATACACGCCCTAATGCCAAGCTGCCTGTGCTCTGAAGGATCACCCCCAGCACAGGGCCTGGTATCTTGTTGGATATATGCCCCTCGTCTTGATCCCTTTTGCTACTTAATGGGTGACAAGGCACAGCTTCAGGGCACCAGCATGTAGAGGTCCCAACAGCAGGGACCTGATGCTTTCTCCATCCTCATCAGGCAGAATTGGCCTTGAGCCAGGCTGGATACAAGATAGGGCACTTTGAAGAGACCAGTGGGGTTGTCGGAAACAGTCCCTCAAATTGGAGCTCAGGACCCTGAGACAGGTATCTTCCCTTTGTAGCCAGGGATCAGCCTCTGGTCCCTGAAGGTAGGTGGGCAGTCAGTGCTGTCTAGGGCACCTGAGCAGGAGCAGGTGGAGAACAGTGGGCTTCTAGCAGCCTTGCTATGCTGAGCGTGGGGCTGGCTCTGCTCACACAGTGGCAAGAGTGGCTTCTGGATGCATCTGGAATCACTCCTACCTTGATAAGCAGTGGCTGGTGGCTGGCCACCCGAACTTAACTGATGAAGAAGCCATTCTCTACATCTTGGCTTCCTGCCACTTCATCCAGGGTACCCTCCTAGACATGGCATTGAGTAGAGTAGCTATTGAGGGAGAGTGGGCCTGAGAGGCCAGAGCTGCAGCCCAACTTGGGGGCAGGCAAGTGGTTCCTGAGCTCAGCCACACATGGATGAGGGAAGTCCTCAGGCAGAGGTTGAGCCCAAAGGGCCTGTAGAAGAAGACTTGTTGGCTTGAATAGAAGAAACTACAAACCTGTCGTTTTCAAAAATCAACCCTCCCCCCTTTATGTTCTGAGTTCCCTTTGTGTAAAAAAAGTGATGCCCTCTTCTTGGATTTCCTGTTACGGCCCCGCAGCCATGTCAGTCCCCTACAGGAGCTGCTGGGGTGGCCAGAGCCAGCTGGACCCTGCTGTGTGGGCTGGGGAAGAGCACAGTTCTACCCAGTGACTTACAGACCCTAAGTGAAGGGTGATTTTGTTTTCAACATTTTCTGTTTTCTTTTTAAAATGTAATCGCCCTTGAATGCAAGACCCTGGGAAGAACCCTGGGCTGACCGGTAATGACAGCCTTCACATCCCCACCAAGCTGGAGGTGGAGAGCTGGCAGCTGGGCCCAGGAAGTACTTCTTTGGCTGTTTCTGATTGTGTTTGGAGTTTGGCCTTGGGTGAGGCCCGAGCAAGGGGTCTGGGTGCTACAGTGTGGCACATGGCATGCGGGCAGCGTGCGTGCGAGGGTGCAGGCATGCGAGACAACATTGGCAGCAGACAAAAGTAATGAACCCTGGACAAAGCTTGAGAAGAAATACAAAGAGTACATAAACCCGGTCCTCATACTAACTCTCGGGTTACAAACTATGTTGTGCTGTGTAATCTGTAGAAAATTGTGATTGGAAAGAATGGCACTGGTTGGGCAGCCAGGGGCTCCCAGACTGGCCTGAGTCCTCTGTTCTTAGAGATGGCCCAGAGGCACAGAGCAGCCTGGCTTCCAGGCTTCCAGGGGACTGACGGGCTCTTCCCTGTCCCCTGCCCTCCTTCCCCCAGCACTAGGTGCACAATGGAGGGGACATAACCCAAGCATGGCTGTGGCTTGAAGGGCTGGCAGAGGCCCCACTTCTTGAGATGCCAGTGGCATGGCTGGTCTATGCCTCCTCTTCCCCTGCAGACACCATCAGCCGCATAGCCACAGGGAGGTGGTCGGTCAGGCCAGAGAGCTGGGTGATAAAACTGAATTCTTCTACCTCCTAGGTTGAGAAAAAGGGGTGGAAAACATTCTGATTAGACCAGAGAGGGTGTTTGTAAAACGGAGTGTTAGGAGTATGAAATGACAGCTTGGGGTGGGAGGCTCCAGATGTGGGGCCAACTGGACTAGGGTGATACAGAGGGTATCAGGAGGGTGTCAGGCTGTGAAAATGCTGGCTCTCCTTTTAAGGGAGCAGGGACTGGGGGTTGGGTTCAGAAACTGTACGGGGGGCTACAGGGCCCAGCCTCAAACTCACAGCCTTCCAGTCAGGGCACAGCCCCTCCTCAGCATGCAGCATGTAGTCGATGCGTCGGCCATTGCCCTTCAACAGGTCCTTCCGCCCCTTCTGCCCAGCCCCTGGGCTCTTGCTGGTAGGGAAGGCCAGATACTCCCTGCGGCCTTCCTCACTCTCCAAGACCCTGTCAGGCAGAAAGGAAGCAAGGTGAAGATTGATGCCGGTCCTGACCCAAAGAGCCATATTCTCCACAACATAAGAGGGAAAGGGGGAGACCAAACCTGGGTTTAAGATCTTCCTGTCTGTGGCTCCACAAAGGGCCTAGGCCCTCCGCCCTCTGCCACAGGTTGTCTCCACCTCGAGCTAACTAGTTCCTGCTCCGCTGTCTGTACTCTGTACTGGTCATGGCATCCCTGGCTGTGGCCATGTTGGGAGTGTTCTTCTCCTAGTCCCTTCTTCACTTTTGATCCAATAGGAGCCGGTTTGAGCCTCAAAGACCTTATTTCCTAGAAGCCCCATCACTGTCTAAGATGATGGTGCTAAGGGAACCAAGAAAGGACTACATTGGAGGTCTCAGTTACTTTATGGGTCTGTCCTTTCGCTGATGGTTGACCCAGCTTGTCACCAAACCTCTGAGCACTATTTTCTTTGTAAAATGAGTGGTTGCTATAGCCCCTGACTTGGGGGAATGTGCGGTTGTCCCATTTCTCATCGTCATCCCAGGAGACTCATGGGTTGTCTCCATGCCCAGCACAGTTCCTGCTAGCCTTGCCCGAGAGCCCGAGAACCCTGGGAGAGTTGAGGAACCCTATAGGCCACCCCTCCCCAATTACCGAGAGCAGGCTCAGGCCAGGGGCTGGCATGGAAGACACTGACCAGGCCTCCAGGTGGTTAACACTGGAGAGACCAGGCTGGCAAACATGGCTTTCTACAGGTTTTTATCAGCCTTGAGATAAATACTCTAATGACATTCAGAGCATTGTTAACTGCTCAAAGATATAATCCATTACTGTCTTTTGCTTTGATAATTAATTCCAGCATCAGTGATCTGAGAGTTACTGATAGTCGTTTCTTAATCATCATCTCATGAAAAGATAATTTTCTCTGCATAGGATGATGTTTCAAATTTAGTCTCTAATCTAATTAATTGGCTCAAATTAGCTGCAAGGAGCCATGGCAGTGGCTCTGTGCAGTCTCAGGCTGTGAATTATAAATTCATTCTGCTATTGGCCTTTCTGCTGTGTCCTTTATGGAAGCCTCACTTGTTTCAAGGATGAAACTGACCTAGGTAGAACTGCCTGTCAAGACAATCAGCCTGTGTTCTCTCATCTTCTATCTGATTGGTGGGTAGAGGCCATGGGCTCCCTGCTCTTTCACAGACCCAGCAGCTCTCTAGGACTTGACCTTTGACCTGATCCTGGAAATTCTGGCTTCTTTCCTATATGAACTGTACTTAACAAAAGCTGTTTTCAGTGTGAGTCTAGATCCTGACTGCTAGTTTAGGGTTTGTCCTTCCAGACTCCATGAGCCTCTTAGATTTCTAGAGTATGAAGATAGTGACAGCCTCCATCCATTCGTCCTTTCTCCTGTGTAAGAGCTTCCAGATACTCAAAAGTCCTTAGGGGCTTGAGTGAGCTGCTCCTGCTGGAACCTGCCCAGTCCCTGTCTCTATAACCCAGTAAGGGTTCTATGCCCCCTGAAGGCCTGGGAGCTTGTTAGGACCCCGAGTCCCTGTGAGCCCACAGTGGTACGGGTACTTACTTTTGAAGATTGTCAGGGGTACACACATCCTCATCATAGAGACCGTTTATGTCCAGCAAGGTACCTGGGAACAGAAGAGAGTGGAGGCTGATGCAGGGTCCAGCTGGCCTCCAGGGTGGGATTAGGGAGACACCAGGACTTTGGGGCGTCCTTCCATCTGCCTAAGGGCACATCCCCTTCTTAGGAAGCCCATGGGGAGTCCAGCCCCCTGCTTACCAATGGCCCAGGGCTTCTCCTCCCCGGGCCCCAGGCGGCAGGGGTCCTTGTAGCGAGTAAACAGTGAGTGCTGCTGCTCCAGTTTGTCATCTGTGGGGGGCGGAGAGGAGTGCTGCATCAGCCACGCTAGGCTCATGGTGCTTTCCATGGTCCTGTGGTTGGTGCTGTGGTTGGTGTGTCACTGAGTCTCTGCCCTCACCAAGTGCCCTAACACACTGATCTGTGTCCTCCCAGCCTTCCCAGGTCCCATAGCAGACTGCTAGTGGGGACAGAACGATACTGCAGCTAGGACCCTGCTCTTCACAGATCTGGATGCTTGACTCTTGGGGAGGAGTGGGTATCACGTGGCTCAGAGAACCCTGTGTCCTGCTGACTCACCTCACTGGACCAGTAAAGTCTTTCTTTGACCCCTGGGCTGGAGGAAGGGCACTGGGCTAGGGCCTCTTCCTGTAAGTGTGCCAAGAGTGTCATGACCAGGACAGAGACCTGTGCTGAATGTGACAGTCCTGCTGTCCCACACTAGGAGAGGAAATGGTCCTGTGTTGGTGTTCTATGCCGGGCACTGCACTCTCCTTGCCCATGCGGGAACTGCCACTGTTGTGGAGATGCCCTGGCCACGAAAGGTTAAAACAGCTTCTACCTGCTGCCATCAGGTGAGGGTACCATCATGGACTCCAGGTGAGACCTTGAGGTCTGTTCTGAGGGTGAGGCCTGCACTCACAGGCTCCACGTTCACCCTATCGATAGTAGCCTGTGGGAGCTGAGACTCCTGCAGGGAGTCAGAGCCATGAGGTTCCCAGCCAAGGAAGGCTCAGAGCTACTCCAACCCCAAAGGAGGTCTTTATAAGTGCAGATTCAAGTCAGTTTAAAACTTCACGATGGTCATCTTTCAGTCTTCTATCTAAGAGGTTGGTTTGCTTGATTGGTTCTTGAGATGAGAGCTCCTGTATCCATGGCTGGCCTACAAGTGTGTGGACCAAGCTGGTCTCAAACTCTGAGCAGTTCTGTCAGCCTCTTGAGTGCTGAGACTGCAGGCATGGGCCATCATGCCTAGCATAGTCCAGTCGTCTAAGCCAGCGGTTTTCTGTATTTAAAATATTTATGAGTGTGAGGGTGTGTGTGTGCGGGGGCTACACATGGCACAGCAAACACAGGGAGGTTTTCTCTCCTGAGGACTGAATGCAGGTCATCAGGTTGGTGCTTTTACTTGCTGAGCCAGCTTTTTAAAATGTTTGGTCTTGGTTTTATTTCATGTGTATGGCTGTTTTGTCTGCGTGTATGTCTGCACCCTGTGCTTTCAGAGCCCAGAAGAGGTCACTGCTTCCCCGACAGTGGAATTACAGACAGTTGTGAACCACCATGTGGGTGTTGGGCATGGGACCTGGGTCCTCTCTAAGAGCATACAGTGCTCTTAACCCCTGAGCCACCACTGAGTTACTGAAAGTTTTCCCCTTGTTCTGGGTTCATTTTTAGGGCATCTCTTTGTGCTTTTTTTTTTTCTGTCAATATATGGGTTGTCCCATGCTAGGACTCGAGTGTGGGGCAGACATACCAGTCCTGGTAAATTTCCCCCACACACTCATGAGGAACCGGAAGTTCTTCAAACTACCTAGCTGTAGTCTGTGACTGCCTGCAGCCTGTGCTCTGACTGAAGCTTCAGACCTGAGGGGGAGGAGTAAGGCCTCACCAGAAGAGCAGTTATCAAAGTTCAGGTCTCCACAGATGATGTCAAACACCACCAGCTCCTCCGGGTTGGCTGTGCTGGACGAGGAGGTAGATTTTCGGAAATCAGCCAGCCAGTCCTGAAGCAGGTCCAGCTGCTCACACCGGACGGCACTGTCCTCTGCAGACAGGACAGAGGCCAGACTATGAACCTTGGCCTGGACCCCAGCCAGGGCCCAGGTATTGAACCCACCCCCAGAAAACCCCAGGCTGTGGCCTACCTGGTGGGGCATGCAGGTGCGTGCAGGCAATGTACCCAACAATTCTTTGGTCCAGAGGTGTGCTTCCCACCTGCACCTGGGGGAAGGCAGGGTGTCAGTGTTGCTACCAGCCAGCCATTGCTGCTCCAGGTGCAAAGGAACCCTGGCTCTACTCAAGCTCTCGCCATCCTGCTCTGTGCCAGGCCTGGCTAGATCCTAGGGCCTGGGTAGAGATAGGGCACGCCCTGCTTCTAGAAGTGTCTGGCTGGTTCTAGAGGCAGATATGTAAAGAAAACATTAGCTTATATGTTACATGGTTGGCTGCAATCTGTGCAAGGCTTTATGGGGGAGAACCAAGACACAGGCAAGTTCCTCCCCAGTCCCTGGCATCTCCAGGTGACTGGAATATCCACCTACATGACTGAAGTTTTTTGTTTTAAGAAAGAATCTTGGTATGTAGCCCTGGCTGACCTGGAAATTGTTACATAAATCAGGATGACCTCAAACTAACAGCAATCCTCCTGCTTCTGGTTCTCAAGTTTTGGGATTACAACTATGTACCACTATGCCCAGCATAACATTCAGCCTTTTTAATATTTGTTTATCATTATCATAATCTGTGTGTGTGTATGTGTATGTGTGTGTATGTATGTGTGTGTGTGTCCATCCACAGAAGCCAGAACTGGAGCTGTTTAATGTGGGTGCTGCGATTCCTAACTCTGGTCCTCATGATGAAGCAGTAGGTGCTCCTTACCATGAGCCATATTCTTTATCTCCTTTAAGTCTTCCTCCACTCTCATTTAGTGACTCTTTCCTTTCTCCTTTGGCCACGCTCTCAACCTGACCTCTTGAGCCTCCAATTTGAAGTCAAAACTAGCACCCACTGGAGGGGCCTTAGAGACTTCTTCCAGCTGTCTACTGTCTACTTTTGCCCCATCTGGCAGCATGGTCCATTGCTTCATGAGTTTTTGATGTTTTGTTTTCTCTCTGTAGCCCTGCTGTCCTGGAACTTTTCTGTAGACCAGGTTGACCTCCAACTGCCTTGCCTTCATGCGCCATCACTGCCTGGTGCTTCTCGCATTTTATAGGACATGGTCGCCTGCCGTCCCTTGGTCTTAGGGCAGAGTTCTGGTCTGTGTCCTTCGTGTGGGGCCCCTGACATAAACTGGTCTCATCCTGAGTTCCCCCTCCTTCCACAGTAGCTTCTTCACACCTCCATGCCTCCACTTCCCCAAACCTGACACTATCTTTACTAGGGTAGAGTTACCTTGGGTGGGCCTGGCTCAACAATTAGTTGATTTACTTAGGCGGGTCATCTCTAATGCTAGCTTCATAAAAATGTGCATCTTAATTGTATCTCTCAAAGATAACTCAGCAGTCCCCCCCCCCCCTTATGGGTAACAGCACAAGAATGAGCCCTTGTCTGTACTGTGACTCTGGGGATGAGACAGGTTACACATCCCCTCCCCTCCCACCGCTGAGGCCACCCCCAGACCCCTAATCACCCCCTAACTGTTGGAGACCATTCTAACACAGCCCTCAACTGTGCACTCTTCAGGGCCTGTTGTGGGCCTATCCTCAGAGGTCTCTATTGATGCACGCCTTCCCATGTGAGTGCCAGCTGCCCCACCCAGAACCCCAGACTCAGGCACTTCCCAGAGAGGTAGACCACAGAAGTCAGGCTTCCTGTTCATCCTGTGGCTAAGGACACAAGAGTGGCCTCTCAGTGTTCTCTCCCTTTGCTGCCGAAATTGAGTCTTCTCAGTCCTGTCCCCTGGATTTCTGCAACTCCACCTCCCCCCTCCAGCATGCATGCCTGTCCTCCTAGTGCCTGCAGGTGAATGTCTGGCTATTTGAAAGGCTCTGTGGCCCTGACTGGGGCTGTTTCTAAACTTGCTCATTAAGTTCTTGCCCATATACCAGACCCAAGGTGCAGCGATCTAGCACCCCTGTTCTGGGAATTAGCCCTGCAAAACCATGGGCCACTGATGCATCTTGTTATCAAAGCACAGTGTAAAAGAATGCAGTGCTGAAACAGTGTAAAAGAATGCAGTGCTGAAACAGTGTAAAAGAATGCAGTGCTGAAAGGAGCACATGCTATGGCCGACCCTGTGTTCCCCAGGCAGCAGGTTTCTCCCACGGTAATCTTCTGCCACAGACACTTAGCTTAGTGCGTCCTCACATGCTCAGTGTGCACCATTTCATGGATGGGCAAACTAAGGCTCACGGTGCTCAGATGGGTACACATTAGCCCTGTTGGCCTCTGCATGCTGCTCTTTGCCCCTTTCTAGGCTGTTGGTGTCTTAGTCAAGATTTTTTAACAGCCACTCATCTGTCAGACTCTCCCTTAGGATCCCTTGCCCTGTGCTGAGTTCTGGACAAGGACAAAGGCATCCCTGCTGACCCTGCTGCCACAGTAGCCTCCCTCTTAACAGGGGTGTGATCTTGACAACATCCTCTTTATTATTTGCTGGGACTAAGTGATTCCTATGGTGTGTCCTCAGGACCTGCAGAGTCGCGTGTTTCTCTTATAAAAACAAACCATCACACAGAGAGGCAAAGGCAGCATCTGGCTGGACAAGCAGTCCAAAAAATAACCTGAACACGGCGTCAAGGAGCCCATGAAGGGAGAACTAGCTTGTGCTTGGCAAGACTAAGACTAGCAGAGCATGAGATATGGAGGGCCCTCGGGTGGTCCGGTAAGGGCAGAAAGGGGAATCGGACCTAAGGAGGAGGAGGCCTCACTGGAGGAAGACAGACAGCCACGTCCCCAGTGGGCAGATGTAGAGAGGAGGTTCACCAAGATGGTGAAGTTGGAACCAGGGGCGTTCGAAAGTGAAATGAAGAACCTGGGATAAACTGAGCAGGCTCAAGGTGGCTGGTTTCTTCTGGCTTCAGGATGGAGAACCTGGGTGAGGACAGCAGGGCAGATGCTGAGCTTGCTCAGGAGTAAATGAGATGTACTCAGGGTACTCAGGTGTCGGCCAGATTCAAGGATGAACCCTGGGGAGAGGGCTGGGCTTGGACAGGATGAGGTTTACCAGCAGGGTAGAAATGGAGGCTGTGGGATCACACTCTGGGAGAACAGAGTTGATAGCGGGGGACCTTGAGAAGTAAAGAGAGCTGGCTACATGGTTTATCCCAAACTTCAGCTGTAAGAAAACAAGAGGTGGCACATACCTTTAATCCCTGCACTCGGGAGGCAGAGGTAGGCGGATCTCTGTGAGTTTGAGGCCAGCCTGGTCTACAGAGCGAGTTCCAGAACAACCAGGGCTACAAAGAGAAACCCTGTCTGGAAAAACAAAACAGAGACAAGCTGGTGCTGGGAGACCTGTCAAGGTGCTAAGAGATGTTACAAACAAATTTTGACATGAAAAACATACTGGCCAGCTCAAAAAGTTTTGGAATGGAATGAGGCAACATATCTGTTGACCAGTTTGAAAACCACAAGGTAAAGGGAGACAAAAAGAACATTAATGATAGAGCCACAGAGGAAAGGTTGTCCCAAGAAGACAGTTGTCGTTAGAACTGTCTGAGGGCATCAAATGAGAAGGAAGGTGAGGAGTGGACGTCATCTGGGGGTGGGCGCCACAGGTGAGAGGACACACCTTTCCACTGATGACATTTCCTTCCCAGAAGGCTCCTCTGGCCACCAAGACAAATATATCCACAAATGCACCACAAATGACACACACGTCAGAATAGGAAGGCTGGAACTGTGTCGGAAGACCAGTGTCTCTGTGACTGGAAAGCTGGGGACCACCACTCTGGCAGAAGCATGAAAGAGACCTTGAACATCCCAGGATGGGGCATACGAGTGACTGCCTTGTCCCCAACAGACTTGGATGGAGTCAGTGTGCCCTTACTCTCAGCAAGCACTGGCTCAGTATTTTCCTGCACAGGTTGGGCTCAGTTAAGACTGGAGCAGAAGTGGGAGAAACCTGCCCTGGTTGGGGTCCCCCGCTAAAGCAGCCCCTTAGTCAAGTCTCACTTTTAAGGGGAGAAGCACAGGCAAAACAGCTGCTGCCCCTGAGGACAGAAAGCCCCATCCGCACCAGACACTCAGATGATCTTCAGAGAACTCTGAATTCACTAGCACTGGCTTTTAGATAGAGAACAAAAAGTCGACACTGAGTGTCTCCAGCTCCATCGAAGATAATGTGTAATGACCAAATTACCATGGTCTAAAGCCTCCAACTGCATCCAAATTAGCTGAAATAATCACAATTCACTTTAATTAGTGACTGGAGTTGAAGCCAAGAGCTGGTGGGCAGAGAGCCTGGCATGGCAGCTGCTGACAACAGGAGGGGGGCACCAGTGAAGCTAGAGGTCTCAGTGACTGAGTGTGGCCTTTGGCCTGGGGATCTGAAGAGCCTGTATGCTGGCCTGAACTCATGTTCTACTCTGGTCTCTGCCGTGTGTGAATAGAGATGGGGCTTGTCTCCTTCCATCCCTTGTCACAGCGACCCCACAACCACCATCATGGTCACAATATGCAGTACAAGAAGCTTTGAATCCATCCCATTTGGACTTCACCATACTGGGTCACACCCACCTCACTATACAGATAGGTAAATGTGACTCAGATCTGAGAAACTGGTCAGATGACTCAGCCTGAACCCATGGGTTTCCAGTTCCATGAAAAGCTTTGTCTGGCTCCCAAATCACCCCATCAAGGGAGTGAGGATTCCCAAGGAATAAGGGTTGGCAGGGGCTATGGCCCATTTAGTCATGAGGTTTGGGGCAGCTGGTGTGTAGTCCTCAGGCAGAGCTGAGGATGCCTACCTTGAGAAACAGAGCTCCCTTAGAGGCTAGGGCATCGAAGCTGCACCCATTGGGGTAACAGTGATAGGCCACGTCCATGACAGGGTAGCGGCTGGCAAAGAAGAGACCACTGTTGAGACACTTGAAATTGCAGCAACCATGGCAGCCGTAGACCCCAACATCATACAGGATGTACTCGAAGTAGCCGTGTAGCTGCTCTTTCAACTTAGCAGCTGCACGCTTGTCAAACACCTCCTGCAGGCACAGGAAGTCCAGATTGGCCGGGAAGAAGGCCGAGACCTCGTGGTCAAAGGCTTCATCAGGGTGCCGCCTTCTGCGGGCCGCTGCCTTCTTAACCACTGACGTCTTATACAAGAGCTTGCTGTTGACTCCCGGCTCTCCGCTGCCACCGCCATCTTGCCCTGCCCGGGCCTTCACCAGGGACTCCCTGGAGGCGGAGGGGCTGCCTAGGCTCCCAGAATCCCCATCTCGCTGATTGTGGTTGGGCGTCTGGCTCTTTGGGGCCCCGCCAGCCCCATTCCTGGCTTGGCTCCCAGTAGCTGGGTCGTCAGCTTCCAGTGGCCGGCCTCCGTCGCTACCAATTCGCACAATGCAGCTGTCCTCAAGGCTGCCGTCAGCCGGGTCCCCAGAGGCTGGGCCATTGGCAGCCTCGTCATTGGGGTGACGCCCACCATCCCCCTTATATTCCACAGAGGCCGTCCTCTTAATGCTACCAGGGACAGCTCTGGCTCCATCATTGCCCTGCGGAGACACAAGGCTGCTGAAGCTGGCTGCGCTGATGGAAGTGTTGGTGGGAGAATCAATGTAGATTTTGATCTGAGGCCGGGCGGCCCCATTGCGGATTCTCTGCCCAATCTCTTTGGCCCGTGCTTGGGTGTTGAAAACATTGTTGAGCCTCGCGAGCGAGTCGGGGAGGAGGCAGACATTGGCTGAAGCAAAGCAAAAGCTTTTGCCTCCCCCCGTGCCCTTCCATTCACTGAGCAGGGCTGCCCCACCAGCTGGGCTCTTGTCCTCTAGGCGGGAGTAGGAGTAGGGCCGGCGGGCAGACTGCAGTGGAGACCAGAAGATGAACCCAAGAAAGGCAAAAGGCAATGCAGCCACCAGCAGAGCCAAGTAGACTGGCGTGAAGAGTACCGTGCAGAACAGCTGCAAGCAGCAAGGGTCATCTGCCCTCTGGCGCTTCTCGTAGGTGGTCGGTATGAAGGAGGCCACCAGCCGGTCCACCAGCCAGTAACATGGGAAGATGAGGGCCCAGGACACAGCGTGGAGGGCAGACAGACAGCTATTAGGAAAGGGGGTCGTGTACAAAACCATCGCAGCTCACTGGGCGCCGCAGCCGGCCCTACTACATGATGTCCCTGGCAGCTGCAGCTCTTTCCCAGGCAGGGGTGGGCAAGCTGGGGGCAGATGGAGGATGGGTCACCTCCTGGCAAGGTGTGACTCTGGATAGTCAGCGGTGAGTGTCCTGCAGATATTCATGGTTTGCCTCAAGAGGCCATGCTCGGACACCAAAACCTGTTGAGAACCTGTAGAAATAGAGAAGGAGGGAGGCCGTTACTAAATTAAACTGCTCTGAAAGCCAGGGAATCGGTTTTACATGGAGTGTTTGGGGTCAGAAGAATGCACGTGGGGCTCGAACCCTCGACCCTGGGATTAAGAGTCCCATGCTCTACCGACTGAGCTAGCCGGGCCCAGGGTTGTGGGTTCGAGCCCCACATAGGGCGCCAGGGTTTTTTATTTCTTATTTATTTATTTATATGATTTTATCTTATCCCAAGACAAGGTTTCTCTGTGTAGCTTTGGTGCCTGTCCTGGAACTAGCTCTAGTAGACCAGGCTGGCCTTGAACTCACAGAGATCTGCCAGCCTCTGCCACCCGAGTGCTGGCATTAAAGGCGTGCGCCACCACTGCCCGGCTGGCCTCGAACTCATGATCCTCCTGCCTCTGCCTCCTTCAGCAAATCCTACCGGCGTGCGCCACCACAACCGGCTAAGTCACTTTGTATCAGACCAAAAGCTGGGCAGTGGTGGCGCACGCCTTTAATCCCAGCACTCAGGAGGCAGAGGCAGGCGAATCTCTGTGAGTTCGAGGCCAGCCTGGTCTACAAGAGCTAGTTCCAGGACAGGAACCAAAAGCTACGGAGAAACCCTGTCTCGAAAATCAAAAAAAAAAAAAAAATACAGACTCAAAATCAAGTACCTGCGGTTTTGCAACAAAAGCCACCACAACCGGCCTGAAGGGGGCTGGAGAGATGGCTCAGCGGTTAAGAGCATTGCCTGCTCTTCCAAAGGTCCTGAGTTCAATTCCCCCGGCAACCACATGGTGGCCCCACAACCACCTGTAATGAGGTCACTAACTCAGCTGGTAGAGCATGAGACTCTTAATCTCAGGGTCGTGGGTTCGAGCCCCATGTTGGGCGCCAAAATGTAACGGCGTAAATGAATGCAGACAGATTGTAAAAATATATATACAGCTTTAATGGCGAAATAGACTTACAGAACCACCGTTCCCGCGGAGACCAGGAAAGCAGAAGGGACGGCTGGGAGCACACTCGCCAAATTTATAGGCAAACATTAGCCCAAGGCGAACACGCCCCCCAAGGGGCGGGACTTATCCCTACAGAATGCCCCGGCACATTCCATTTGCCTATACATTTTTTTTCTTGGAATAAACAGCTTTGTATACGGTTTTGCCTAACTGGCGGTCTTGATTCTGTTACTTAATTGCTTAAGAAATGGCCCCTGTTTACAGAACAGCATAGCTTTAGCGGTACAAAGGGGTGCGCCAGGACTGACCTGACACTGGCTAGAAGCAAGTGAAGCCCTTTGGGACCCAGGGGTGTGCTTCAAATGCGCAGGCAGCAGCCTTGGCTAGAGGAGCTGCAAACATGTTCACTTTTATCTAGGGCCAAGTAGGCCAGGAAAGACAAAAGGGGCCAAACGTTACAGGGCAGAGGGCAGTGTGGCTAGCAGGGCAGAAGAGCAGGGAAGCCTCATTCACATGCAGCCTACTCTGACCATGGTTCAGCTTCCTGAGCAACAGACTCCACGTTCTACCCCACGGTGCCCCAGCAGGACTCCAGCCAGGGTCGGGAACCCAGGCATAAGGCATAGACCGTTTCACTAACTTTCAGAATGAACAGTTTACCAAGTTACCGTGACAATCCCCTGACACTTGGAGAGGCTTCCTGGGGCCGTGTGGGTTTAGGTCAGAGCTTTAGAGTTCTCGGGCTTGTCCACGATGCAGCTTCTGGCAGAGCCAACAGCCACCTAAGTCCGTCCGTCCCGGGTCCCTGCCCCACTGCACTGAGTCATTGTACTTCTCAGAGCAGCCTGACCACACCCAGGCAGGTGCACTGACTGTGCTGATTGCCCAGTCAATAAAGACAAGAGTTTCGTGTTTACCCAGCCTCCAGGGACCCACACTGCTTATTCTGAGGGGAAAATCCTGCATGTATGATCTGCATTTTGGTTTCTAAGCCAAACACAGAAGGGCAGTGTTTGCTTCTCTCAGTGACCTACACCCTTCTGTCCCTGACACCTCAACAGGACCCAGGCTGCCACCATTCATCCTGGCCCCACAACCCTCCTCCCTCCTGAGACCTCGGTCACCCAACTAGAGACCTAGGTATCATTCATACTACCCTCTCTGTGCCCCGGATGAAACGTTTCAGAATAGGCTGAGAACAATGTTACAATTCATCAACATTATCGGCCTCCACCTACATGGTGGCTGGAAGGACACTTCCTCCATCAGTCCACAGGCTCTGCAGCCTGACCACCTACTACGCTCACCTCCTCCTCACTCTGACAGTGGTACCAGGACCGCACCATGAGGATCCGCCATAGCTCTGCGTCCTGCTCCCTCACCCTCTCCACAGCTCAGCTTAGACATCAGCCTTTTAGAGATGATTCTTCACCTCCTTGCCACTGGGGCATGGTCTTTGCAGTTCGTGTTACTTACACTTCAGGATATGCCTATCTCCCCAGAAGATAAAGGAGCTTTGACAGGGAAGGGGCTACACAAAGGTTCCAGGAAGGCTCAAGACAAAAGTGCCTCAGATGGGATAGATCAACAGAGTTGGGTCATGATGCCAGTGTGAGTGGAGGCAGCCATTTCCTCCAGCCGTCAGGAGGTAGAGTCCCCCACAGGTGTCAGTGCCAAGAGCCCTGCAGCCACCATCCCCACGGCTGATGAGGGTGGACCGGAGCTTCATGTCCAAAGAGGAGCTTAAGCCAGTGGCTGTGTCTAATTCTGATGAACAAGAAGCACAAAGATTTTGCTTTTCTCAAGAGAAATCACTTTGAAGCTAACACTGGAAGGCCACAGTTTCTACACGAGCACAGCCAAGTGAGGACTTCTCAGTGGAGCCCCAGCCGGGTCTGAGGACACAGTAACCTCGCACACCTGCTGCCTGGCTTGGGCAGTGGCAGAGCAGCACGCTTGTTTACTACCCCAGCTGCTCACCAGAGGGAGGACTCCAGCTCGGAGCCGAGTCACAGCTCACTCCTTATCACACTTGACTGACTGTGCTCAGCCAGTTTCTGGCCCTCAACGAGGAGCTGGCAGAACCCCTCCAGGCTAGAGGGAGAAATACAGGATCCGGAGCTGCCTGTCTATACCAGTCCATCTCTGCCAGACCCACTGGGGCCGGGGCAGACCCTGCAGGGGCGATGGGCAGTGGGATGAGGTCTCCTGAGGCATTCCAGTGGTCCTTGAGTTCAGGAGGACCAGGGGAGGGCCCCAGCTACACTCCTTGGGCCACTCGAATGTCACCCCAGAGTCTTGAGCAGACCACTTCCCAGTCTCCCCTTCTCTTTCCCCCCATCACTGCTGTCTGCGATCACAAGTGCTCCTCACATTGTGTGGTACCCAGAAGGACCCATTTAGCATCTCTCTTCTTTATTTCCTCTCCCTTCCTCTCTCCCTCCACTGACCCCATTGTTTGGGGAGACAAAGCCCAGACTCATAATTTCTGTCTGGGCCATTTATGTTTGTGTCTTTGTGCTTCCCTTCCCTCTCCTACCCCGGCTTCAGCCACAGTCTCCTTTCCAGCGGCAGCTGCTGCCAGCCAGACCCCTCTGCACCTGCTTGTGGCTGCTTCCTGCACCCCTTCCTGACTCCTGCCATCCCCTCTTCCCTCTGTACCCTTGAGGGCTCAATTGAGATGTCTCTCCTTCAGGGGACTCTTCCTTGATCCTGTCCCTACACCAGACTGTCGCTGGCCTGGAGCTGTTTCTAGGATTCTGTCCAGCAGAAGCTCCATAAAGTCTGTCTGAGGCCAAGTCGTGGCTGTTGGCCACCCTGTTTGGGGAGGGAAGTAACAGATGCAGAAACAAACCATTGAGGAATAAACAGTATGCTGATTTGAGTGCCCACTCAGGTTGGGAAGCTCTTGTGAAATCAGTCTCTCTGTGGTCAGGGTCGGGTCTGACCCGTGGGCAGTAGTGTGGGCTCCATGGATGACAGATGGGGAAAGTACCAGGGAGGAGGCATGCTTGCACCGCTGAGAGCCACTGCGGTGTCCACAACATCCCCGTGAGCCAGGCCTCCTTTCATCAAAGGCTTCCTGGGAAAATTACCCATTCTGTCGTCCCGTGTGGCTCAACCCTGACGTTGATTGATCGGATTGGGATTAGCTGTTGGCTGGGATGGGACTGTAGGGGACAAGGAAAGAGAATCCATCTTCAGCTGCCCCCACTCCTGTGACCCCAGAAACCCTCTGGCAAAGTCTCTAGTTTGCAGTGATCTTTCTGCCTGCCCTGGGGAAGGGCTGGTGGAAGGGAGGGTCTGGGGTGGCAGCCCCACGGGTGAGTGGAAGCTGTGCCCCTCTAAGACGAGGCAGCTTGGAGTCCCTTGGCCCCCCGTGGTGCCACTCCAGATCCCTCCTGGCTACCCCAGGCCTCCTCTTCAGCAGTGTCTGCACAGGAGGACTCTTCTGGGTGCTGCCACTGCCATGCCCTGACTGGCTCCCTTGTCTACACAAGGAAGCTACAGCAGACACAGAAGGACTGCCATGGACGAGGCTGCTTCTAAAGCTCGGGATAATTACTTTGTCTCGGGGAAATGGAAGGAGGGTAAACAAACAGCGCACATTAATCAGTCTCATCTACACTCTCCTCATGAAAGAGGAGCACTGCAGTTCAACACGAGAGGCTGGTAGCTTCCCGGCGTTTTCAAATGCTCAGCCGAGTGGCCACGGAGGGGTGTGGCTTCCCCAGGCTTGTACAGCATAGGCAGGGGCTCAGCTGCACCCTTTCTCTTGTCTGCACTGTCTAGATGGGGTCAGGCATGTGTCTGGCTTTGGACATGGGACCCCATTGTCCCTGTCATTCCTTCTCTTTTCCATGTCCTTAATCTGGTAGCTTTGCAAGCAAGGTCTGTCATGAACACTAGTAAAGGGTTAGCAGGTCCCTCCAAGGCTATGCATGCTGACCTTCTGCACCTCAACCTCTTAGATTAGGAGAATCATTCAAGGTTTCTCATGTTAGGACCACAGACGCCCTTGGGTTGGTCCCCTTTGTGT